TAAAGCTTTTTCAAAAATAACTTGGTAGCTCTGTGACCAAATCCTTTTTCGGTCACCATAATGCAACGAGCCTCCTTATGAAAATTATCCTCAACTAAATGAGTAAACACATTATTCTTCTCAACAAGTAAGATGAAAATGCCCCATGGTTCTTGAAATTATCTACTATATGTTCACAAGATAGGATACGCAAGGCAAACAAAGAACAGTCAAAAAGAGAATTGTCTCACTTGAAACTAAATGGACCAATAACCTCACCGTGTGAGTCAGCAAAGACCCTGAGACTCGGCCTTGTGCAGCCTATCATGCAACATATGTCATCAATTACTCTATCTGAACCACTCTCAGTCCCAAACAGCTTAGAATCAACATAAAAAAACCTCACACTTCTTTATGCGTTGTTTATTGATGAAGCAGCGTTCATGGATGATCAACAAAACCAAAAAGGTACGTATGCATAAGCGTTGTGACTTCGTATTAGAGTAGGAACGTGTTATTTCATGTCTCGTCAGCAACCTACGACATAACTCATCTTTGAAGACCGTGTGGGTTGAACTTCTAGAAGGCACAATGAACTTGAAGTCCTTCTTAATTAGGATGGATCCCAAGGTATCACGGATTAGTTCTTGTAATTTCTTTTGTACAAATTCTGCGGAAAGATCATACACCTCAACAAATTCTTTTTTTTCTTGCAGTGATAAATCTCCTTGTCTTCTGCAGGTTCTTCCAACTCCGAAGGTCTTCACCTTCTTCCCTACTGAAGATCATACCCTTTTCTAAGTTGACTCTCCCAAAAAGAGCATTAATAGTTTGGCGTCGTCTGTGGGAATCGACACAAGAAGCCTTTATCGATTCTCCCTCCTTCAGTGCCTTTCGGCACCTTTTCAATCATCGCCTTTTAGCTTATCGTTTAGCACCATATATGCCGAAGCCATCATGAGGTCTCAAGGAACCAATATGCCGAAGACATATATCTACTGAAGCAACCCACTTTTCAGTCACTTTGAAGAGTCCCAATCTGGGGGTGGCCTAATATTCCAAATGCTAGGGCTCGTCAATGGGCTGGGTTGGGCTATTAATTTTCTTGGGCTGGGCCTGGCCGGGCTTTAAAGAGGAGAGAGAAAATACTGGGTCGGGCCGAGTTTTTTTAGAAAATTCAAAGCCCAAGCCCAACCCATGGGCCGGGCTTGAGAAAGCCCATTGGGTCGGGCCGGGCCTAAACGGGCCTACTTCATTAAAAAAATCATAAACTTAATCATAAGGGCATTTTAGTCCAAATATGAGATTAAACTCACTTAATTCCAATATTTTCAAACCAAATTCATAAAACACCCAATAAAGTCACACAACTTAATAAGATTTTCCACAAAAATAATAAAACCAAGTATTATTTTTGAGGTTATTACATAATTAGACCGTAATACGTTTAAAAAATAATAAGTATAATAAAATAAAAAAATTTAAAGGATGGTATGAATAAATACGCAAATATTTGGTGATGTGTTCAAGAAAAGCATGATTATGTTTCGTGATATGATTATATTTGGTGATGTGATATGTTGTTCATCTTATATATATACATATATATATATATATAATTGTTGAATTAATAATTGACACAAATTAATGTGCTAATCATCCAATTATAAACTAGGAATGAGTAAAGAAAAGTAAATGAAATGAAACAAATTATATATGTGATTTAAGTGATATAATCCTAAACCTAAACTCTTATTTATATATAATTATATATGTATGCGGGCTTAACGGGCCAAGCTTTTGTTGGCGGACCGGGTCAGACTTTCTTGAGCTTAACCGGGCCGGGCCTATAGGTCGGGCTGGGCTTCAGACACCCAAGCCCAAGCCTAGCCTAGCCTAAGGCGGGCCAGGCCATCTCAAAGCCCATAACGGGCTTAGTCGGGCTTTTTTCGATGGGCCTAGCGGGCCCCCATCCGCCCATGAGCCCGCAGGCCAAATGATGAGGCCTAATACTATGTATAGCTGATTGCTACAAACATGTTCAGATGACATTCATGACCAAAATATATCGACACACTTTCTCACCCAAAATTGATACCTTTTGTAGTTTTCACCACAATAAGAAACGAATGCGAAAGACATGGCCAACAAACAGAAACCTACTCTGTCAACAACCACATAGCCAATCACAAACAATGCATGCCTATCAACCCCTTCCCATATCAAATCCAACCAATCACATCCTACATTTATGAAACTCCAAACCCATTTGATTTCTTCTTGATCACCATAACATTAACACCATTTGACAACACCCAAACTCTCTGCTAGCCTCTCTCTCTCTCTCTCTCTCTCTCTCTCTCTCTTGAACATGGAGAAGAAAAAATTACTCTTGCTCAGAGATGAAGCATTGTTGCAGCACCCAATCCTCCTTCTCCTAGTTCTAGTTCTGGGGTTTGTTGTCATGGACCCACTGCAAATGGGCCCACTAGGAGACCATGAATTTAGGCCAGTGAAGCACAACATTGCACCATACAAGCAAGTCATGGAGAGGTGGCCAAGGGACAATGAGAGCAGGTTAGGATTTGGGAAGTTGGAGTTTGAAGATGAAGTTTTTGGTCCTGAGTCTTTGGAGTTTGATGCTTTGGGTCGTGGCCCTTACACAGGGTTGGCTGATGGACGCATTGTTAGATGGATGGGCAACGATTTGGGCTGGGAAACGTTTGCGCTTGTAACAACAAATTGGTGTGTGTGGTTTATTTCATTAATGTGTCATATTGTCATTGTGTTTATTTCTCTTAATTATGATATAATAAAATGTTAATTAATTATAGTGGATGTGGGCTTTAAAAGGTCAAAGCAGGTTTGTGCTAAAGGCATTGATTCAACCACACACAAGCAATGGAAGCATGAGAAGAAGTGTGGCCGTCCACTTGGCCTGAGATTTGATAAAGAGAGTGGAGATTTGTACATTGCTGATGCCTATTATGGTCTTTTGGTTGTTGGCCCTCAAGGAGGCCTTGCCACTCCTCTGTCAACCCATGTGGAAGGGAAGCCTATTCTTTTTGCAAATGACCTTGATATCCACAAGAATGGCTCAATCTTCTTCACTGATACCAGCAAGAGATACAACAGAGTGTAAGTGTATATAAAAACTACATATATTTAGGGCAGACGTGGGTAGGCAGGTTGGTTAGGGCAGTAAGCCCGCTCCTTGCACCCAAATTTGAATTCCCCTTCTGATAGACTTGTATTAAAAAATACATCTATATTTGATTTATTGATCCTAATTAATTAGTGGAAATTAATCAAATTGCAGGAACCATTTCTTTATACTATTGGAAGGAGAATCCACTGGTAGGCTTCTGAGATATGATCCTCCCACTAAGACAACTCATATTGTCTTGGAAGGTTTGGCTTTTCCAAATGGGTTGCAGCTTTCTAAGGACCAAACCTTCCTCCTCTTTACTGAGACCACCAACTGCAGGTAATAATAATAAAACCTGAGGCCTTGGAATTTTTCTTGGAGGACAAAGCTAGGAATCTTAACTTGCATCCAAAATTATAGACATGAGAATAAAGCTTGTCTTGACGTAATTGAAGCTAATTTATCAAGATCAGCTTGAACATGTCCTAAGTTTAATTTCTATATATTCAACTAGTGTTGCAAAAGTTAAGGAATTCCTGCCAAACTCAAAGCAAAATCCTTAAAAGAAAAATACCTTATGACAAAATGTTTTTAACCACCATATCGGTTTCAACGTCAATACCTTTTAACAACACATACTTTTTTTTATAATAGTTGAAAAGGGCTTTTTTCTTGTAGTGAATAATAATGTTATATATATATATGTGTGTGTGTGTGTGTAAGATGCCCCATTTATCAAAATCAGCTTGAGTATATATTCCAATTTGAGCTAGTACCTTGGTTAGAGGTCCTAAAATATTTCTACTGGTTGATTGAATTTTTGCAGGCTAATGAAATATTGGCTAGAGGGTCCTAAAAATGGGACAGTGGAACTTGTTGCTGATCTTCCAGGTTTTCCAGACAACATAAGAATAAATGAGAAAGGCCAATTCTGGGTTGCCATAGATTGTTGCAGGACCCCAGCACAAGAAGTCCTCTCTCACAATCCATGGATACGGAGTGTCTACTTTCGCTTGCCGATCCGAATGACCTACTTAGCGCGATTTATGGGGATGAAGATGTACACATTGATCTCCCTCTTCAATGAGAAGGGGGAAATTTTGGAAGTTCTCGAGGATCAAAAGGGTGCCGTTATGAAACTTGTGAGTGAAGTTAGGGAAGCAAAGGGCAAACTGTGGATTGGAACTGTGGCTCATAATCACATTGCCACCCTTCCTTACCCTTAAGAATCATTTGGGGCTGTAGATGAATATCTTGTTGTTCATACAAGCCTTTTAGCAACGGTATCTTAAATGGGTGGCTTGATTTATGATTTGTGTAACAGTATTGATAATTAGATGATTTGAGGTTTGTGGCTTTTTATTTTTATTTTTATTTAATGTTTATTTATTTATTTTGGCCCTGTGTGACTACTAAGCTTGAAATTTGACATGCGCTTGACATTTTTTATTAATTGTACGGTAAAACTTGTGATTATATTGCTAATTATGTCGTGTGATTGGAAATCATGGTCTAATTAAGAGATACTATCCTAATTGATTACTGTATATATTTCCTTGTAAAGCACTCATATAAACTCTTATATATCTCTTTATGGAGAAGAATAAAATATAACCCAAAGTATTCAAACCATATTCATATTTTAGCATAGTATCAGAGCAATCGATTCTATGTTGTCTCTAAACCCTTATCTCAAATTTCTCATATTCAAATCCAAAACCCTAAATCAAATTTCTCATATTTTTCCCCAAATCCAAATCCCTCAAATCTAAAGTCCTCAAATCCTCTTATCAAAATCCCTAAACACATAGCCTGAAATCTTATACACATACCACTCAAATTCAATTCCTACATCAAATTCTCTCTCTTGAACATGGAGAAGAAAAAATTACTCTTGCTCAGAGATAAAGCATTGTTGCAGCACCCAATCCTCCTTCTCCTAGTTCTAGTTCTGGGGTTTGTTGTCATGGACCCACTGCAAATGGGCCCACTAGGAGACCGTGAATATAGGCCAGTGAAGCACAACATTGCACCATACAAGCAAGTCATGGAGAGGTGGCCAAGGGACAATGAGAGCAGGTTAGGGTTTGGGAAGTTGGAGTTTGAAGATCAAGTTTTTGGTCCTGAGTCTTTGGAGTTTGATGCTTTGGGTGGTGGCCCTTACACAGGGTTGGCTGATGGACGCATTGTTAGATGGATGGGCAGCGATTTGGGCTGGGAAACATTTGCGCTTGTAACATCAAATTGGTGTGTGTGGTTTATTTCATTAATGTGTCATATTGTCATTGTGTTTATTTATCTTAATTATAATATAATAAAATGCTAATTAATTATAGTGGATGTGGGCTTTAAAAGGTCAAAGCAGGTTTGTGCTAACGGCATTGACTCAACCACACACAAGCAATGGAAGCATGAGAAGAAGTGTGGCCGTCCACTTGGCCTGAGATTTGATAAAGAGAGTGGAGATTTGTACATTGCCGATGCCTATTATGGTCTTTTGGTTGTTTGGCCCTCAAGGAGGCCTAGCCACTCCTCTGTCAACCCATGTGGAAGGGAAGCCTGTTCTTTTTGCAAATGACCTTGATATCCACAAGAATGGCTCAATCTTCTTCACTGGTATCCAGCAAGAGATCAACAGAGCGTAAGTATATATAAAAACTACATATATTTGGGTAGACGTGGGTAGGTCGGTTGGTTAGGGGCAGTAAGTCCGTCCTTTGCATCCAAGTTTGAATTTCCTTCCCTGTAGACTCGTATTAAAAAATTCATATATTTGATTTACATGATCCTAATTAATTAGTGGAAATTAATCAAATTGCAGGAACCATTTCTTTATACTATTGGAAGCAGAATCCACTGGTAGGCTTATGAGATATGATCCTCCCACTAAGACAACTCAAATTGTCTTGGAAGGTTTGGCTTTTCCAAATGGGTTGCAGCTTTCTAAGGATCAAACCTTCCTTCTCTTTACTGAGACCACCAACTGCAGGTAATAATAATAAAACCTGAGGCCTTGGAATTTTTCTTGGAGGACGAAGCTAGGAATCAGCTTGAGTATATGTTCCAATTAGATCTAGTACCTTGGGTAGAGGGTCCTAAAAATATTTCTACTGGTTGATTGAATTTTTGCAGGGTAATGAAATATTGGCTAGAGGGTCCTAAAAATGGGACAGTGGAACTTGTTGCTGATCTTCCAGGTTTTCCAGACAACATAAGAATAAACGAGAAAGGCCAATTCTGGGTTGCCATAGATTGTTGCAGGACCCCGGAGTGTCTACTTTCGCTTGCTGATCCGAATGACCTACTTAGCGCGATTTATGGGGATGAAGATGTACACATTGATCTCCCTCTTCAATGAGAAGGGGGAAATTTTGGAAGTTCTCGAGGATCGAAAGGGTGCCGTTATGAAACTTGTGAGTGAAGTTAGGGAAGTAAAGGGCAAACTGTGGATTGGAACTGTGGCTCATAACCACATTGCCACCCTTCCTTACCCTTAAGAATCATTTGGGGCTGTAGATGAATATCTTGTTGTTCATACAAGCCCTTTAGCAACGATATCTTAAATGGGGGGCTTGATTTATGATTTGTGCAACAGTACTGATAATTAGATGATTTGAGGTTTGTGGCTTTTTATTATTATTTATATTTAATGTTTTATTTATTTATTTTGGCCTGTGTGACTACTAAGCTTGATTTTTGACATGCGCTTTACATTTTTTATTAATTGTACGGTAAAACTTGTGATTATATTACTAATTATGTCGTGTGATTGGAAATCATGGTACAAAGGGTACAAATTAGATTATAACTCAATCATATACAATATACATTGGAAAGAGGATAGCATTGGATTGAGGATTTGTATTTTAGGTATTTTTTTTTTTTTTTTTTTTTTTTTTTTTTCAGTCAGTCAGTTCAGAACCCCACACTTTTCTTTGTCGGATCCGAATCCTCTGCTATGATTTTTTCTGTCATGATCTGCTTTATTTTTGTTCTCCATGACACCTCATTAAAATTTAATCTAAGGGATTTAAACTGGACACATCATCCACCAAAACAAAAACCCCAATTTACTCTTAATTAAAAAAACTCCAATTACTCCAACTTAAATTCTCTAACATGTCTAACTGTTTTTTTCCTTCTCCTCTTTTCCATTCTCTGCACGTTCTCCCCAAAATTTGAGTTCCATTTGTTCTTTCCCCAATTCTTTTTCTCTCTCTAATTTTCCTTCTACAATTTAGGAGACTGTCTTGTTTTTGTACTAGAACTCTTTTCACTAAAACACCCAAAATGGAGGTGGAAATTATAAAAAAACCCAAGCACTATTTAAACATATAAACACACCCAAAATCCATCATTACACACACTAAAAACCCATTTATAAACACACCCAAAAAGTTGACTTTGAGGTTGATTTTGGGTGTGTTTCTATGTTTAAATAGTGCTTGGGTTTTTTTATAAATACATGTCTAGGATTGGGTTTATTTATAAATTTGTATAAATATTACGATATGAGATCGAGATAAGATATTAACCATGGAAATACGTCGAGATAAGATATGCTCAAACTCCGGGCAAATAAGATCAGGGCTTCATGCACACCCAAACAACTTCAAGCAATCCAAGAAAAACGTAAAGAATTATGAATGCCAACCTTAACCTAAAAGCCAACAGGAAAATTAAATTCAATAAATTGCATAAAAACATAAAAGAAACCAAATATAGTAAAGAAATCCTGAGCTTTATTTGATTATCTTTTGGAGCATACGGCTGGAGAAAAAACTTTGTTGTTACTTGACCTCCCACAAATTCCAAATCATTTGGTTCAATTTCTAAGAAAGTTACAAGGCTTCGGTGCGGGGGAAGACGCACAGAGAAGGAAAGAAGAAGAGAAAAAAAAACTGATGTTAAGTTGGAGTTAGTCAAGTTAGGGTTTTTTTTTCCATTTTTAATTAAGAGTAAATTGAGTTTTGTTTTGAAAATGATGTGTCCAGTTTAAATTCCTTAAATTAAATTTTAATGAGGTGTCATGTGAAGAACAAAAGTAAAACAGATTATGGCAAAGAAAATCATAACAGAGGATTCAGATCTTTCTTTGTCACTCTAATACTTAAATCATTAAGCTCTTAAGTTTTATTATTGTGTAAAAAGACAAAAAATGTCATCCAACTTTATATTTAACCTTAGTACATATACACACACTCCACACACCCCACCACTCTTCATATTAAGTTTTAGAAAAACGCAAACTCGTTTACACCTTATTGTCATATTACTCTTCTTTTTCAATCCAAGAAACTTACTACACTTTCATCTTCTCTTCACAAACTCTAAATACAGTATGCAAAGAGTGGTTTGTGGGTCGTCAATTGAGGTAATAATGTGAGATTCTTAGTTTGGGATTTCTCCCATGATTATTGAGGATGCTGTGATCAAAGACTTGTTGTAATTCTGTGTGTTATCAATACATCGTTTCTCTTTATTTAAAAAAAATGCAGAACATTGCATATGACATCATTGACTAATATTATATTATTTGATCATAATATATGTCTTTATTGATCATAATATGTCTTTATGAAGACCAATATATATATTATTTAAAAAAATGTAGAACATTGGAGTCGTGATTGGGGTGTTGGTTGTGGGGTGTAAGGTAGATGAGTTTTTATTTTTTATTTTTCTGTTGGGTGTGTATTTAGTGGTAGTTTGGGTAGATAGTGAGTTTTTTTTAGAAATTGTGAAAATTTGAATTATAAGTTGAGGTGAACTCATAATATGGGGTGCAGGGTTTAAATAGAAAAACCTTCTGTTTTTTTTTTTGCTTTCACTATACACTAAACACTGAAAAATAAATATTTTCATATATGTGTTTACCTTTGCAAGTGACTCATATCCATTGATGCATTGCGAGTAAAGTTGGGCATATGGGACCAAAAATCGGCCAAATCAATTAGACCGAAAACTTGTAAAACCGGTTGGTCCGATTCGGCTTGATGTTTTTTCTTTGTTTTTTGTTTTTTATTTTTTTGTTTTTTGTGAACGGCACATGAATCAGACAAAATTGGTGTTCATGGTTCAACGCTCGATTCCTGATTTTAAAAACCTCCAGTTAATCAAACCGAACTGGATACATTAAATCATATTTAATTTATATGTGGCTTATTTCTATTGGTTTGTTTTAATGTTATGTGCTCCTTTGCACAACATATCCTAGCCCTTAGTCATGCAACTTAATCTAGATTGAGTATGGTTCGGAACAATATATTCAAACTGTAGAATATGATTCGGCTCACGGTTTGGAGTCAAAATCGAATTAAATCAAGCTGAGCCTAGACCTAATTGTGAGATTCACATGCATTGGCAGTTGGTAGCCACTTACTTTCGTAGGATCGCATGTAGAACCATTCCTATTAACAAAATACATGGGCAGATAACAAGATTTTAAAAGTTGGTAAGTATATTTCGAGTGATTTTTTTTGGATTTCCTTCAAGCTATAGGCCAAACAGCAAAAGCGTATTTCTCCAAGGCAACTCACACAATTATATAATGTGTAGTTAGAACCTAGAAGCCAGGTCATGGTATTAGGATATGCTTTCGTTAGACAACATCCATCCCCATGTAATAGTTATTGCAAAAGTGGATGAGCCAACCAATTTTGCTTTGTTAATGTAGGCCAGCATGAGAGCTTCTTTAAGGCACCGAAAAGCCTTTACCAATCATGTTCACAATTAAAAAAAGTCAGAGGGAAAAAAAAATATTAACAAGAGTGATTGCCTTTTGCTTTCTTTGAACAAGACAAAGCCAGCCATAGAATATCTCGAGCAACAAAAACTAAAGTTAAATTCAGACCCAAAAAAAAAAAAATTGCTAGCATTTACACTTTTATGTTTTCATAAGATTTTTGTTTGTCAGATTATTATGCTCATAAGAAAGGAATTTAGCATGTATGCGTACCTTTCAAAAATCTAGAAAACAAACAAAAAAAGGAAACACAAGAAAACAATAAAAGAAACAACGCACGTCACTTGGAACAACTCGGCGGGGAGAAGTGTTCTTGTATAGGGGTCTGCCTGCCATATGCGGCAACTCCCGAGAGTAGGTGGGATTCACATGCCAGTGCCCCTTGGCAAGGACAAAAACTTCCATGTAGCTGGATGTCACGGTGACGAGAAAAACTTATTTATATCGGGGATATCACTGTGGTGCTATTCTGAGCCAATCACCTTATTAAGTTATTATCATATGTTTTAACTTTTTAATATGATGATACAACTTTTCAATATATGACAATGCGTGATAGGTTGGGGGTACCACCATGATGACATCACATTTAAATGTAAATTATTTTCCACCTTGACGATATCATTAACTTCAGATACTATCAACTGGCATCCCATGTCCCAGTGAGACACGAGAGTAACTCCTTCAATGTATGCTTATGTTATATTGTAGACTTTTTTTTTACACTCTAAAATGAGAACGGTTTAAGTTTGGGTCAAAAAAATAACTTTGCCATAAATACATAAATAGTACTTACATTTTTTAAAATATTTTTATATAAGTGATAGTTTAAACTACTCTAAATTAATTTATATTACATGAACGAAAAATCAAATATAAAAACTATGAATAACTAGCCTAACTTACGTTTGCAAATATCATTTACCATTAGAAGTGAAAAACGCAGTCACTTTATGCTTTTTATTATTAAAAAACTATGTAAGCTCACTAGAGTTGCCAAACTCAGAAGAGTGCCTCATATTGGGTCCAGATTGTGACCAAAAGCCGCTAATGGAGCCGTCGCATTAGAGGATACTTTTGCTCTATAGTTGTCAAAATATGACTAAAAGGCTTTAATTTAAAGTTTTGTACAAAACAAAGTGGCAAGAAAGTCAAAAAGAAATATTGGAGGGACATTTCCATCATGCAATCAGAGAAAAGTATACCCTTAATTCTCGGGACTATTGCCTTTTATTTTTTATTTTTTATTTTTTGTGCATCAACTATTTTCACTAGTGGATAGAATCCTTACTCATTCGTTCCCGTATTCTAACCCAAAATATTTTTATAGAATTCTAACCGAAAATATTTTTATAGAGATTCAATTGTAACAAAAAGAAAAGGTGTATGGAGACTATAAATACATTGCAAAAATATGTAGGTATGACAGTTAGGTTGCAAAAACGACAATTAGGTACGACAGTCAGTACTAATACTTTATATGTGTATATTTGGGTATTTATATATATCCTTCTTTGTTTCAAATTTTGTTTTATTGGAAAAAAAGAACGGAAAAGTTGGGCATTATTATAAAATTATAGTACTTCTTAAAATTTTAAATTATATGAGAATACGATGTGAATGATTGAAATGTGAAGATCAAAAGTAACTTTTGGTCCATGCTGATTTTATTACTTTGGTTCTCGTAGTTTTAATTTTATACATTTTATTATTGTAGTTTTCAATTAAGAAACGTAAAGACACTTTTCAATTTCTATCAAATTTCTCCAAATTTATATAATACACAAATTTACTAAATAGGACTTCAAGTTTTGATATCATATAGAAACACAATGGACTTGTAGCTTAATAGCATTTACCCTTAGCACTGAGATCTTAAGTTCGATTCTTCCATACCTAACGTGGCTTGTATAAAAAAACATTAAAAGAAAAATATAAAAAAAGTTTGTCAATAAGGAATAAGAAAAAGCAGTTTTATAATAATTTGTTTGATTTATTTTGTAATTATTGCACAAGGAACCAATATCCAATTTAACAGACATTTTTTCTCATATTAATGCCCGAGAAAGAGAAAAGACAAAGCCTGGGGGGATTTGACGTCTCTACCTCCCCCTTGGCTATATTCTAAGGTAAATTCACCAATTTTTTTTTCAATTAATAATTCCAATTATTTTTCACATGAATGTTCTGGAAATAAATTGATATTACAATTAAATTTGAAACGTTGTTTTTGTCAACTTTTGGCGTCCTCGGTACTCTAGATCGCGATCGCAAGCCATTAATTGTGCCAAAAAGTGGAATTATCTGCGTTTAGAATTGGTATGTATCGGTTTGTCTTTGGGAATTTGGCTTCAATTTGTTGGAGTTACTATTTTTTTCTGAATTTTGAACTATCTTGAGCCTTCAATTTGTCGGTCGTTTTAATTCTTAAGACGTTCAAAACGCATTTGGGAACTTACAAACGCCTCCAATGCTGCTGAGCTCAACTGGGTTTTGAGCTTTTGCTTTGGACTTTATTGACAAGACTATGAGAACATATTGGTTTGAAAGTTCTTATGCATTTTAGATGTATTTGATCATACGGGTTGTTGAGTTTTCTGCAAAATTGTATGTATGAAGTTTTGATTTTGAGTTTGATTTTTTTGGTGTAGAGAGGGGGTTTGAATTTATTTTCGGTAAACGATGGGGGTTATGTCGAGGCGGATTGTGCCCGCCTGCGGGAACCTCTGCTTCTTCTGTCCTTCAATGCGTGCAAGGTCAAGACAGCCCGTGAAACGCTACAAGAAGTTGCTCACTGATATCTTCCCTCGTAATCAGGTTAATTCTCAGCTTATGTTATGCAACCTCGTTTTAAAAAGATGGATACTTTCTCTTGCAGAAGAAGTTTGGGTTGAATTAGCAGTTTTAGAACTACTTATGTATGAAGTGACTTCTTAGTTGCTCAGTGTTGGTTCTATGATTTTTGACAAGGTGATACTTTGGTGCTTATGAGTTAGATCTCTAGTCTTGTATATAAATTTAATAGGAACGGAAAGTGTGTTGTCAAACCATGCAAAGGATAATCACTGTAAGCTACATTTCTGTTGCTACTACTGCAACCGCGACTTCTTTGATAAGTTATTTTGTAGGTCTTAGTTGAGACTTTGAATAAGTTGAAGCTTTGTTGAGAAATGTTAGCTTCATGCTAATAATTTTTTTCTTCTTTAAATCCATGCCGTTTTGATGGTTTTCACACCTGATTTATTGCTTATTCTGAAATATATACGTGGCAGGATGCTGAACCAAATGACAGGAAAATTGGGAAACTTTGTGAATATGCTTTGAAGAACCCACTGCGAATTCCCAAGGTGCTTTTGGATTTCTCGTAGTCTCTTTGACGAGTTCTGGTGTAGAGTTTGAAGTTCAAAACTACCACATAATGTTTTCTAATTCAATACTTCATTCCATCCATTTCACAAAGATTCTATTTGATTTTCTATGGCTAGTTGTATTTGAGGCAAGTTCTAATTTTGGTTTGTAAACTGTTTGAAATGGCACTAGACTCAGATATTAAGAAAATTTGTTGGTTTTCAAATTCTGTTGAATGATGCAAAAATCATGATTCATGCCCAATTGTAAACTTTTGGTTTAAGTGCTTACTTATAAGAAGAAACGTCTTCTATTCCATCTTATGTCTTTCAATCTTTCTCCCCACAGATCACTGGTAGCCTAGAGCAAAGATGTTACAAGGATTTGCGAAATGAGCACTTTGGGTCTGTTAAAGTGGTGCTATGCATTTATAGGAAGTTGCTATCATCATGTAAGGAGCAAATGTAAGTCTGAAGTAGCTTAATCTTATAATGGATTGGCATTTCAGTAAGCGAAGCTTCAAAATCATGAAAGATAACCTTATACCAGGGAAAGTGTATTATCTAGTTGACTACAACATGGATACCATTGCATCATGTGCAGACACCCAGAAACACTTGCCCCAAAAATTAAACTATTATTAATTTTCCAAAAGTCTACATTCGTTTCAGTATTTTGATCATGTTTATGAATTAACTTATGCATCAAGGATGAAAGCATCATTCATGCGAAAAGGGTGAGACTGAGACAGTTCATAACCAACCCTTCTTAGGCTTGTTCTGATATTTATATGTTTATCCTGTATAAAAAGTTCATATCTTGACATTAGATGCTCTTATATGCTTAGTTCACTATGTTGTTTTGTTAATTCATTTGTGCTCTTCAATGGTTGCAGGCCACTATTTGCCAGTAGTTTACTAGGAATTGTTCGGATTCTTTTGGAACAAAATCGACATGATGAAATGCGGATTCTAGGTTGTAATACTCTCGTTGACTTTATAAATAGCCAGGTAAATGATAAATACAGAGGAGAAGTTTAGACTTTGGGGTATATTATACGTGGTAGGTATGCATGTAAGGGCTTTTAAATGGGTCCCGTAGAAAATTCACCACCTCATGAATGAAGTTTGTAGTTATTGAAAGGAGATAGCAGTCTAGATGATGTTCTCAATGTTGACAATGAAAGAAATGTGAGTGGTTGAAGGGAATGTCTACACATCAGATTACCCGATTCTGAAATTGTATATGATGTACAAGGACCTGTTGCATATTGCTTGGATTACTTTAGACCATTGTGTGACGAGTTATATTGTCTCTAGGTTTACTGTATATGTGTTATGTCATGATGTCATAGATCCTATGTTTTACTTTTTCCATTTGTTGATTGAAACTGACACTTTCAAATAAATGTGCAGATTGATAGTACACATATGTTCAGCCTAGAGGGCCTTATTCCTAAACTTTGTCAAATGGCTCAAGAAGTGGGAGATAATGAAAGAGCTCTACGTCTTCGTTCAGCCGGACTGCAATCTCTGGCTTTTATGGTACATTCCCTTTTTCTAGCTTAGCTTTAATCTCATATGAATTTGGGGATACATGCATGCATGTTTACGTTCAGACTCGATCTTTGTAAAAGTGCCCAAACATATGTATTAATGTTCATAACCATATGTACATGTATCATATATGTACGTTTCATGTCATTAGTAATTATTTTTGCATTCTCCCTTTAGATTATTTTAATTTTAAGAAGTACATTAATCTCTTGTGATGTTCACTATTCCCATACTTAACAGTTGTTATTGTTAAAGTATGTTATAATTAGGATTTTAACATAGTTAGAATGTTTGGTTTCCTATTTATTGTAGGTGGCTGATTTGGTTTCTTTATGTTAAGTAATTTGGTTTCTTAAATTAAGTGATTTGGTTGTTATTGAGTTTCCTATTATAATTAGAGTTGTACTATATAAAAAAACTTTTAGAGTTGGCTTAATCTATCTATCTCTCTCTCTCTCGCGCGCGCGCGCGCGAGCGTGCGTGCGCCACCAGTCTTAGGAAAACATTTAAGATTGGAAATTTAAAATCATTACTAAAGGGAAGAAATAATGAAATTATGTGTGGCATGGTTTACATTACTTAAACTGAGGGAGACCACCGTTTTGGTACCAACGATGTGTAAATGCCACGGCAATTAATGTTAGCAGCTAGTTACTCAACCTTTCACTTTCCCTTGCTTACTCTCTCTCCACTCCTCTCTCTCCCTCTATCCGCACCACCCACCAGCAAAATCCTCTTCCCACTCTCCGTCTTACCCAGAGTTACTGGGGTCACAGGTTCCTCATCTGAATCCTGATCTGGATTGCGACCCAAATTGGTGGATTGAGTGACGACTGTTTGGTTTTGAATGACTGACTTTATGGCCCTTCATTTAATGATAAAACTCTTCCCTATGCATCATTAATGCTGGCATAATAAACTGATGAACTAAAAAACTGAGAATGTTGATAACGGTGTTTACGTGCAATACTGTTAACTCTGACTTTGATGAGAGTTGACTGCTTACAGAGTTTTCATTTGTTTTACTTATTGCTTCTGTACAGAGATGTATATTTATTGTGCACTTTTTCTGACTTATTATTTGATATTTTGATTTGCAAGTTATCATCATCCTTTCATAGACCATGTTTTCTTTTTCTTCATTTTATTGTCATCTTTGGTCAGTTGACTTAGAAAACCTGATTACGTTATCTCGCACATTATGATTTCTCCTTTTCTTTGTACTTACTATTTCTTTGTAGGTGTGGTTCATGGGCGAGCACTCTCATATTTCAATGGACTTTGACACTGTGAGTAATCTGAACCTCATGTCGCACCTGTTATTTCCAATTTTGACTTGAGCAAGGAATGTGATAGTTTGGCTATCATGAAAAGTAATGTTCTCTTTTGGATGTGTTCTACGAAGTATAGTTCAGTCTTTGAAACATGGCCAAATGAGTGCTGTTGACTTTGCTATCAATTTGAAACTTTTTCTCTGTTCTGGAATAGATCATATCAGTGACTTTGGATAACTACGCGGATATCCATACTAAACCTGGGAGTGCGACGGAAGACAGACAATATTCTGAGTCTCAGGACCAGTGGGTTCAAGGAGTGCTTAAAGCAGAAGTTCATGATTCATCTTTTCCAGTTATTAGTCAGAAGGTTCCTTCACTTCCAAACCTGAAAAACGCTGATTTGGATCCCACAATGTTAGTTCTGTTTTTCCTATAATCTCTTTCATGTGTCACTAGGAAACAGTTTATGTTGCCATAACATTATTTGATTCTTGTGCCATTTTCTCAGCGATGCCAACAAGAGTCCCTCTTACTGGTCTAGGGTTTGCTTGCATAATATAGCCAGATTGGCAAAGGAAGCTACAACAGTGCGTCGAGTGCTTGAACCGCTTTTTCAAAGTTTTGATGCTGAGAACCATTGGTCCCCAGATAAACCACTTGCCTATCATGTTTTGATGTATCTGCAGTCACTTTTGGAGGAATCAGGTTTGGATTTTGTGCTTTTTTTTTCCTTTTCTTTTAAACATCATGTGTGGATATAATTGATATATGTGGTTTACTTGAACATCAGGAGATAATTCCCATTTGTTATTACATATATTGGTCAAGCATTTGGATCACAAGAATGTTGTCAAACAACCTCGCCTACAAGCTGATATTGTTAATGTCACCACACAAATAGCACAAGGTGCTAAGCAGCAGGCATCAGTTGCAATTACTGGTGCAATATCTGACCTGATAAAACATTACGAAAATGCCTACAAAATCAAGCTGAGGTCTCGAGCCCTGGGAGTACAGATAAATGGAACCCAGATCTTCTGTCGGCACTAGAAAGATGTATCTCACAGCTATCAAATAAGGTTTGTCACTTTCAAATATAGGGTAAAAGAACTCAAGAATTCTGTGAATATTTTGTAAGAATCTTCATGGATGCAGAAATGAAAGTTTAGGGGAAATCTCAGGAGGTATTTTTGTTTGTTCAAGTATGTTGTTTTACTCTCTCTCTCTCTCTCTCTCTCTCTCTCTCTCTCTCTTGGTAATCAACTGGCGATATAGATTACACAATGAGGGCGTAGCTTCTGCATCCTAAAATACCCTGGCTTTTTTGTCGGTTCAATTAGTGGGCCCTTTCTAGAATTGTATAAACACTTGTTATTTTGACTATATGATGCAATAGCCAAAACTTGGCTAGAGAAGAATTGTCCTTTGGTGAAGAAGCCCTGGACTAAGCATCTCATTTTCATGAAGCGTCTTTTGGTCCTATGAGTGTTAGTTATTTGTTGTTTAACCTGCACTTTCTTTATTTTAGGTGATTTGAAAGGAAGGGATGCGATAATCCTTCCCTTTCATTGTTTGGTTAAGAAAGGTTCGAGAGATGAGCAATCTTCTGGGTTTTTGAATCTGACCCCCACCCTCACACACACAAGCCGAGGGATTAAGGAACACAGTCAATTTTCTTGAATCTCAGGAGGACCACTAGTTTCAAGCAGGGTTAAAACTGAAGGTTCATGATTCATCTCTGCAGGTTTAACTTTTTTGGTAAGGAAGTGGAATTATCAAATCTAGTGTTGGTTCAGAAAAAGTTAACTAAAGAGTTGGATTTATCAAACTTTTTGTGGAATCGATGGTCTCTGCAGACGTTCAACTTTTGTAGCTTCTATTTGAAAGAGGATGGGCACCAACACGACACTCCAATGCTCAAGTCAGTGTCAAGTGGGCATTTGAGTGATTCTAAGGTTCTATGTTGCATAGCTAGATTTCTGCAATCAATCCCTATGTGTAGGCTTGCAGATAGGTCTTGGCCTCCACGCCACCTTGATCCCATTTCTAAGCTTGTGGATCACTTCCTGATATTTTGGTCATGCACTCCTACATGCAAATTCCTGCATTCCGAATTTTAGGGATGTTGATCTCATCATTTCTAAAGGGGATGATCGGCCTTGATCAAACGATCATCAGATGTATGGTGTCACTTGAGTTCGTCTACTCTAATCTGATTGGACACATACATGGTCACATTCAGATACGTGCATGAGTTTTGTTCGTATCTCATATTTGTTTATATTTTGACCCTGTTTTCTTGTTCTCAATTTATTTAATTGGTCTCTGTCTCCCATTTTACCATGTGCTCAGTCAATCTATTTCTAGGGTCAAGTTTCCCGTTCATTTCTACTCCTTGTAGTGTACTCAGATTCTTCGTTATTCTATCAACTTATTTTTCCCCCTTCAAAAGTTTTTGTGTATTTACTCGTCCTGCCGTTCTCTGTATTCACAATCTTAGTCATCCTTGGTTGCATGATAATGACCTGCACCTGAATATCCTTTGCCATCTCCTTTGCTGTCAAAGGTAGTTGCTCTTAACCAGGAACAAAAACACAAAGTTTTCACAAGGCAGGCCTTGTGTAAAAGATGTTTAACTAGTTTTGTCCCAAAATGAGTAACATCACGTCACAATTCCATTCCTAGTTTATGCTTGAGTCCATCTTCTTCTACTATTCCTTTATTTTCAGACGGCGAAACTTGAATGATAAAAAAGTAGGGGAGTTATCTGTAAGAAAATATGGCTGGTCCATTTAGGCATGAAAAAAAATATGGAGGGTGGATTCTTCATGAGTTTTCTCTTGCAAATCTTGTTCTCTTTCTTTCCGGGCCCTCTCAAGCAGTTGGAAAGCTAAAGTACCACCTAAGGGCCTAAGGCATGGGTTTTAGCTTGGATTATTGCTCATGGAAAGGTGAGTACCTGAGACATGGTGAAATGGTGGGCACCCAATCTGTGTCTGTCTCCTTATTAGTGTGTGATGTGCAAAAATGATGCAGAAAGTTTGAACCATTTGTTGCTCCACTGCCCAGTTGCACAGTCCTTGTGGATGAGATTAATGAGAAAGACCAGTTTGAGTTGGACAATTAGGATCTGGTGATAATTTGCGTGAGAAGTTTAAGTTTTTGGTTTAGGGAGGGGAGGGGGGATGTGGACCTTAGTTGGACAGAGTTTGTTTTTTTTGGTCATCTTGTGGGCTTTTGTTTCTGGAGTTTAGGGACTGGTCTTTTCATGCTATTTATTCAGATTTGGAATCCTTGCCTTTTGCTTTTTGTTTCTTTGGTTTGGTTTTCGCTTGCTTTTTGACTTTTTTTTTTTTTTTTTTTTTTTTTTTTTTGTTTTAGCAGAAAGTTTTGGCCCAAAGGCCAATTTTGCATTGAAAATACAAAATACAAAATTTACTTGGAAATCAAACAGACTTCAGTGGATACTGGTCATGAACAAGCACGTTATTGGTTTTTATGTGTTGCATTTATTATTGTATTTGTTTTGCTTTTGGGTAGGAACAAACCACTTCTCTGTGTTGGTACACTCAGTAATACTGTTTCCGATTCACAGGTTGGAGATGTGGGACCCATACTTGATAAGATGGCTGTGGTGCTAGAGAATATTCCAACTAATACAGTTGCAGCTAGGACAACAATCTCTGCTGTTTATCTAACTGCAAAGATGATATCTTCTGTTCCTAATGTATCATATCACAAGAAGGCAAGGCCACTTTATTTTGTTGCATTATACTACATTTTCTAATCATGTTAAACCGTCTAAGTGTTTTATACTCATAACCTGTTCAGGCTTTTCCTGATGCTCTATTTCACCAATTACTCCTAGCAATGGGCCACCCAGACCATGAAACACGAGTTGGAGCACACAGCATTTTCTCTTTGGTGCTTATGCCATCTCTGGTTGCTCCTTGGTTAGAGCAGAAAATGAACCCTTTGCAAGCTGTTTCAGCATCTGTTTCTACATTGCAGAAGGTAAAGGATGGAAGTTTCTCTATTCAGGATGAAGGGAAAGACACAGGAGTACCGTTGAATGGAGAACTGGAGAAAGAGGGATGTGAATTATCAGATGTCTATGAGAAGCAATTTGATCAATCTTACGGCTTCAAGAGTGCTTTGACTTGTGGAAGAACAGTATGCAATCTTAAACTCAGTCTATCAATTTAATAAGTCCAAATTCTGTGTTTTTGTTAAGGGTAAGTATTTAATTCAAATCTAATTAAATATCTTATCTGAAAACTTCCAGGAACTAACTTCCCTTCGGTTAAGTAGTCACCAAGTGAGTCTTCTGCTTTCATCGATTTGGGTTCAGGCAACATCTGCAACGAATACTCCTGAAAATTTTGAGGCAATGGCCCACACTTATAACGTTGCTTTACTGTTCACACGATCAAAGGTCAGATCTTGGGTATATTATATTTTATGATTATTTCCTAACACCGTTTCTTATCTTTTAAATGGTGCACTTTTGGATAATCCTGACCCTGCTTCCTTGTATTTTTGTCAAAAAATTCTTAGTGAAAATAGTCTCTAATAGTTCATATTGCATTGTATTTGTAATCTGCTTCCCAGGTTTATCCTGGCTTCTTTGAATAAACAAATGATCACTTATGAAAATAAATGTAATTGTCAGATGTAGTGATGATATATGTGTGCATGCCTACGTACATTTGGGCTCACTTGTCAATGGCTATCAGTTTCTCTATGGAATCTGCAGCGTTAGAATCCGCTTAAGTACATTCTGTATACTTTTGTACATTTTCCAAGTTCAGACTATCATAAGAGGTTCTGGGTATAACCTACATCGAGTAAAGACCCTCAAAAGAAGACTTTGAAAGGTTGAGAGTCCATCTTCTTTGGTCATGTACAAAGGCTCCATGGAAATGGACCAATCTCAACATATGCATAGAAAGGACCCAAAACGGGAGGACATAGCACCACCACACTTCCAAAAAAAAAAAAAAAAAAGGCACCATTGCACTTCAGTCTCATCTGCTCCTCTATACTGTATAAAGGACATGGCTCCTCCAGATCTGCCATTGTCGTGTCGCCTAACTACCTCGATTGCCATCATCTTTCTTCTTATCTGCAAACCTAGATTAAAAAAAAGTTTAAAAAAAGTTTGGAAGATTTGTGGTGTCAGATGACTAGAGAGGGATTTATAAGGTTTAAAGGATAAAATTTTGAAAGCTGTGCTGAAATAGAAATTCATTCCCTCAAGCGACAGAGCAACACTTTGGGGTGCAAATTGGTGACTTGGGTTATCACTCCTGCAGTTGGGTGATACTAACAACAAAAACTGGGCATTCCTTTCGGCTGGTAAAGTGGATTTTTATGTTAGGCTGTGGTTACCTATGATTTAAGCTGGAGTTTAGCAATGAACTTTACAGTTAGAAAGTACCATGAATTGGATTTTGGAGAGAGTTCTAGGGTGCAGTTGTCATAGAAAGGGGATGAAATTGGGTTTTCAGCTCATTTTAATTTGATGACTTTCTTGCAGTGTGAAAATTATACATTTGTTTTGCTCAGTGGCCTTTCTGAACTCGCTAATGTTTCTTTTGCACAGGCCTCCAGTCACATGGCTTTAGCAAGATGTTTCCAGCTGGCATTCTCCATTAGGGCTATTTCCTTGGATCTAGATGGTAAGTCAGATATATCATCATATGATACTTTTGATAGGTAACTACTTATCGGGTGCAGAAAATGGATCAGAATGGTAGCACTATAAAATGCAAGTAGGTTTAACATGCAGATACTTGAACAATTCTATGTCCTTTTCCTGGTCCTGACTAGCCTGATTGATTTTTTGCTAGAGGGCAGCCTTTCTTTTGTTATTTATTAGCTTTAATTTCTTGTTTTATTATAAGAACAAATGAGGGTAAGGATCATTCAGTACAAAGCGTTAGTTCAGTGTTTACCTTGTAATCTTTCTGCTTAAGTGGTATAATGATAGATAAGTTGTATTCTTGAAAGTAGTAATGGGTGGCCTCTCTACATATTCCTCGAACTTGGTTTAGTGCCCTCTTGGCCCTTTTTAAAAAAATATTTACAAATCATTACTTATGTAAAACGAAAAAAAGAAAATAGTGCATCACTTATCAGTTTGCCTAACTTTATCCGTTCATGATTTCAATAAATATCCATCGATGAGAAAACCTTAGCTTTTGTAACTGGAAATCCAATAAATATTTATTTTTCTAAAAAGTGAAGCTTGTGGACATGGTGAATGCAATCATTTCGATACACCCCTTCACGTGTAGGCTCCCATACTCTATCTTTGAGCCTAACATGTGAACCAGGTCTGAGGTTTTGGAATTCAAACATGGGATCTCCTTTTCCAAAAGCCTAAGCTATTAGGTTGTGGTGAACTTTGTCTTGTTGAACAAATCCTTCTAATTTTTTTGTGGTGAAAATATTCTGATATGTTATTTGTACATGCTGATTGAAGGAGGTTTGCATCCATCTCGTAGAAGGTCTCTCTTTACATTGGCATCGTACATGCTTGTATTTTCAGCCCGGGCTGGTGACCTCCCAGAGCTTATTCCCATTTTTAAAGCATCTTTGGAAGATAAAATGGTTAATTTCCATATCATAACATTCAGAATAAGGCCCCTTCAATTTTTTTTCATAATTTTTTGTTTGAATGTTTATGTGTCGAGCTTGACTTTTTGTCAATTTTGTGAATTTTTCAAAATTAACAGGTTGATCCCTGTCTTCAGTTGGTTGACGATACCTGGCTGCAGGCAGTTTCTATTGAGTCTTATAAGGAGAAGATATCATATGGATCGTTGCAGGAGGATGAAGTCGCTACATTTAATTCTCTGTCAGCAGTTGAATTAGATGACCAACTATTAAAAGAAACCGTGATATCCCACTTCATGACTAAATTTGCAAAATTGTCAGAGGTGATATTCATGTTCTCTGATATAATCTCTGAAGCTAATGGTTTTATTGCAACTAGCCTTGATTTGGTGGATCCATCAGATGTTTAACAAAGTAATAGAAATTATGATACCTGTGTCAGAGCCTACATAAATTTTTTAATGTGGTCAATATCGTGTTTTTGTTTTTCTTTTAAATGATAGAAGTAATGACAATCTCTGGACAAGCAGTCCATGGCAACAGAAACAAAACTAAAAGAGACTCCTTTTACAAGAAGAATCCTTGTTCCAAAGCTGCAAACTGCACTGTAGTTGACCTAGGAAGGTGAAAGATATTGGGGTGCACACACGTACACATGCAAAGACACCAGTTAATGTTATATCATATCCCACATTCCAGTTACATTGATTAGATATAAATAAACACCCCTGGCTTGAGACTGCTTCTTAGTTTTATCAACTAATAAACATGGTTGAATCTTCATGCATTTGGTAGGATAACGTGTCCAAGGCTTGACCAGATATTTGTAATTAGACCTTAAATGTTAAGTTGTTAATAATTTGAAGAAAAAGTTTAAACTTTCTAGGAGGTATTTGAGCTTTGGCTATCTATCTGTAATATATTCACGCATAATGTTTACACTCACATGTACACACACAGCCCTAGCATTTAACTTTTTCCTTTTTGTTCTCTTCTCTAAAGGATGAATTATCTAGCATCAAGAAGGAACTCTTACAGGGATTTTCACCTGATGATGCATTTCCATTAGGAGCTCCACTATTTATGGAGACACCACGACCATGTTCTCCTCTTGCCCAGATTGACTTCCCTGATTTTGATGAGGTTTGATTTCTTCTATTTGTGTCTCTATCTTCATGGCTTTCAACTATGTTGCATGACGGGGTTTCCTCTCAGGTGATGCCTCCAGGTTCCTTGACAGATGAAGAAGCCTTCCCTGAACCAAGTGGAAGCCAGTCAGACCGCAAAACATCACTCTCCATCAATACACTTGACATTCTAAGTGTTAATCAGCTCCTGGATTCAGTAAGACAAGCTCTCTTTTATAATCTTTAACTTATTCTGAATTACTTTCAGGCCATTCCCTATGCTGCATGCTTAGTGGCATAGAGGAACAGCATTGACATTAAGTTGGTGGACCAGTAATTCCATTTTACCCGCTGGTACATCAATTTTATATTTCAGTTGTGGCCCTTGATAAGCATATGAAAGTAAAGAGTTTGGGAAGATGGATACAAGGTGCATTTTGTGTGCAATTGTCTATTAATTGAAAAGTTCTGGGGACAAGAGGAACAAAAAGTGATCTTTCCAAAATCTTCTCAAGTGCAGGACATGCTAAAGTTTTGAAAGTTAGGTAGAATTAACAGTATGACCTTTATAAACACTTAAGGAGGGATACATTTAGGTACATAACTGTAACCATCTCAGAGGAGGAGATTCAATGTGACAAGTAGATCCTCTTCAAATAATTTGGCAGGTAGATCAATTGGGATTCTTTGTGGTATATTAGCTTAGGAAATTTCGCCTGCATATGGTTATTAACTTATGTGGTGGTTGTAAATTTGAGGTTTAAAGGTTTGGGTTGTTGAATAAGAACTTGAAGTGTTTGCAAGCTGATTATCAGATGCACATTGGTTAAAATAAAATGTAGAACACCAACAGGCTGCCCAAGACTAACATGGGATAGATTAAAACATAAAGATCTATAAAAATAAGATATAATAGAAACTACTGCATATAATAGAAAAGAACAAATTATGAGAATCTGTGTGGTCAATCCTATGTGATTGGGACAAAGTTAAGGATCATGATCAAAAGATTGTTACTCGATGGCTTAAATTAAAAGGAACCTTGGAAAAATGCTTGCTGGAAATTTTGACAGCACGTAATTTCAATTGTTTAAGGTTGATTTATGGGCCTTTTTATACCAAAATAAAAAGGAAATTTTTTTTTGAGCTTTAGAAGGTATTTTTGGGCATAAAGGATGTGGGACATATTTGGAATTTTAAGGTTTTAATTGAGGAAGATGGTTGTAGTTATCTAAGGGTCAGTTTGGTATTGCTTTGACATTTCAAACAAGGCTGCTTCTTCTCTATAGTGAGAATAATGAGTTGTGAAGTAAAATAGTTTAGCGTTTGCTGATACAGGCTGCTAGGTTGAGTTAGGTGCTGCTTTCCTCTTGCAACTCTTTATTTGTAAGAAGTTTTTGTGCTTTTGGAGGTGGGGTGAAGACGAGATTCAAGGACATGAAGCGTTATAGTGGACTGTTTATGGGATACGGCTAGATTTTGGGCTTTGTTTTAGATTTTGGTGTCGAGCACTTTTTGTGACTGTCCTTTCTTTTAAACATGGATTGCCAAGCTGCTGTTCCTTTCTGTGAGCATTCTGGTTGGCTGTTTTCTCTGTTTTATGTTAGGTTAGGATGGGTGTTGTTTTATTTGTTTATTGCCTTTCGTGTTCTTGGTGTTCTGTTTTAATATAGTTTGAGGGTTCTATCCATTGTGGACTGCTGGTCTCTACCACCAACATTCTGGTGTTTATTTGTTAAGGCAGATGAATGGCATTTCAAGAGGTTGTACCCTATGTATCCTAAGATGGTTCTAAGAAAAAAAAACCCTTGTGTCTCCTGCCTAATGTCTCATGATTACGTTGTGTAAATGAGCTTGGTTTTTTCTTTAATTCATGTTATGCAGATTCGCATCCTTTTAAAGTAAAGTATCAGTAGATTCAGTAGAATTTTCTTATTAGCTTGAATATAACAATGTAGGGCTTGTCTTACCACCAGGTCCTCGAAACAGCCCGACAAGTTGCAAGCTTCCCAGTTTCCACAACACCCATACCTTATGACCAAATGAAGAGCCAGTGTGAAGCCCTTGTAACGGGTAAACAGCAAAAGATGGCAGTTCTTCATAGTTTCAAGCATCAAGTGGATGCCAAGGCGATAGTCCTCTCCAGTGAATTTGATAACACATGTCCCACTTTACCAACCACGGTTAGTAAATTTATAATTTTGGAATCTATGTTTGTGGACTTCTTAACCAGCTAATTTATATACAAATTTATAAATAAACCCAATCCTAGACATGTATTTATAAAAAAACCCAAGCACTATTTAAACATAGAAACACACCCAAAATTAACCCCAAAGTCAACTTTTTGGGTGTATTTATAAATGGGTTTTGAGTGTGTGTAATGATGGGTTTTGGGTGTGTTTATATGTTTAAATAGTGCTTGGGTTTTTTTATAATTTCAACCCCCATTTTGGGTGTTTTAGTGAAACTCCCTAATTTATATCAGGTTTAAGCCCCTTTATTCACCTTTCCTTTAAAAGACTAAATATAAAATAAAATAATTTGCTATTCCTCGTAAGGCTTAAGAGAGAGTTCATTATTGTATTGATGATTGTGGTGATAATGATGGTGGTGGTGATGTTGAGGTTATGATCTCCGCATCGGAGATTTTGATGTGTAAAAATAGTAGCTCTCAGTATCAAAATGACTCTTCCCCTATCCAAACGTAGTTGTACCATTCATCCTAATGCGTTTGTAACTTGAGCTGTGAGTTGTGTTATGGAAAAATTTATTTCGCGAGATCACAAGGCATGGAGTATATACCACTTAGTTGAATTGTAACTTGTACCCTTATTGGAATAGTAATATTTGGCTTAAATTGGAGAGCTTGATAGATATGGTGGTTTATAAATGATAGAGAATGGTGAAGAACATAATATTGATTTTCTTTTTGGGGTCTGGTTTTGTTTTGTGTGTGTGCCTCCACGTGTACTCGGTTTCAAATGTCTGTGTTTCTTTCAGGCAATGGAACTTTCAGAAGGGGATCTAAAGTTGAAAAACAAGGAGCAAGTTCGAGTACAGAATCAACTTATCCTCTGCTCACGTGAGATTGGGCAGCATTCTTTCAAATTACCACCTTCAAGCCCTTACGACAAATTCTTGAAAGCTGCTGGATGCTAAATGGCACTAGATGTATCTTATGTTTGTATGTAACTTTAGTTCATTTTCCTTTATTCTCTATCTATTCCTCGTAAAAAGTTGGCTATTTTTTCATTCTTTAGCATTATTTAAATCAATTTTAAGCTTGTTTAGCTCCCTACATTTCACGCGCAAATGTAAGAAATGAGCCACGGGAGGTGTTGGTGGAAAAGGCGTCGTCTTTCCACACGAGAGTATTATGTTGAGTATTTTAGACTGTATTTGTTAATAATATATATATATGTAGATCTTCGTCGAGTTTGATATATGTAGAACTGGAAATTCATCTTTGTAAATTGTTTGTCTAACATTGTTCAAAAATTTATCCACGAGAAAATCTAGTATATGCAGCTTTGTATTTTGCTTCCTTTATGGTATGCGTCTTTTTTTCTTTTAATTCTATTCTTGTATTTTCCAGTACTATGTTTTCTTCGGAAGTGCACGATTAGAGTTGGTTCAATTTAGTGGGAGTGCTGATATAAGAAAATGCAGGATGAGAAAAATGGTTGGTCAATTGAAAGAATCAGAGGAAAGTTGATTTCCATTCTCTTAATCAAGTTTAATTAAGGATAAACAGTAGGATGCACATCATCAACTTGAAAAGATTGAAACGAATTAAAGTAATTTCATGAACAAAGAATCCGAATCCGGCCCGGTATGTACACAAAACTCGGAACCATAGAAGCGGTAACTCTCTACAGAAAACAAAAAATATTTGAATTCATGCCAAATCCGGCGACCCCATTAGGAAACGGATATGCTCGGATCTGCAGAGACGAATGGGTGGGTCAAAAGCTGAGCGGCGGTCCACCGCTTTTCGGACTCCTTCTGCAAGCAGCACTCCATGAAACTCCGAAACTCCTCCGACACCCCCTTGGGCAAGCTCGGCGGCTCTCCGAAACATATGGCGCACATGAGCGTGGCCCAGTCGGGTTTCTGACCCGGAGGTAACAACGGGAAGTGACCCATGTAAAGCTCCATCAGGGTCAGCCCTAGGCTCCATATGTCACCGGCGTAGCCGTTGTAATTTCCTCCGTAAGTATCCGGGTCGAATCTTTCCGGGCTCATGTAAGCACAAGTACCCACGTAGGAATTGCAGGCGTCCGAGGTCAGGCACAGGATCTTGCTCACGCCAAAGTCGGCGATTTTCACTTCCATTTTGCTGTTCACCAAAACATTGGCAGGTTTGATGTCGCGGTGGATGATCTTGTTGGTGTGGAGGTAGTTGAGGCCGTTAAGAACTTGGCGGGCGACGTGGGCAAGATTGGGCTCCGAGAAGGTGCCTTGGGTTTTAAGCAAGGTCTCGAGGGTGCCGGAGTCCATGTACTCCATGAGGATCCCGATATCTCCCGACGGCTTCTCAAAGATAGCGTGGCAGCGGACGACGTGGGGAGAGTCGGTGCGGCGGAGGATCTCCATCTCGCGGAAGAGCTGACGGCGGACTGTGGGGTCGTTGGAGTGGCCATGAACGAGTTTGAGAGCGTAGGTGTCGGAAGTCCGCTTGTGATTTACCTTGTAGACGGTGCCGCTGTTACCGTGGCCGAGGACTTGGAGTTTCTCGAGATCGGCGGCGGAGATAGAGCCGAAGGAAGAGTTGTTTGTGACGGCGGCCGTAACAGTGGCGGTGGGAGGGAGGGGAACGGAGAAACATGGGCGGCACTCGGAGGATTCGGGCAAGGGGAGCCGGAGATTAAGCTGGCGTCGTTGTCGAATGAGAGCCATTTGTTTCTATTTTGATTGGGAATGTGTTGGTGGTGTGGGTGTGGAGTGGAGTACATTTATAGGGTTTCCTTTTTCCGAAGTGAAGTAGGAGTGAGAAAAGAACTTGCGGGCCAAGCAGCCAAATGGAGCTCAACTTTTTCGGTTTAGGATCATTTTGTTTTATTAACTGATTTAAACATAATTACCTACATTTGGATTTCAAAGCATTTATTATAGCTATGATCATATATTCATAACCTTGTTAAATCCATATCCATCAACGCTTAATAGTTATCTGCCAACTTCATTTGCTTTGGTGCGTATATCTTGTATCTTTTGCAATAAAATTGACCACCTTTGGGAGTAATCTGCCTTTATAATTAATATATTTTTATATTTTAAACACTTCACCAAAAAAAAAAAAAAAAAAAAAAAAAAAAAAAAAAAAAAAAAAAAAAGCAGTAGTGATAAAGATTTCAACCTAAAACTCAATTTATATAGTGCTGCTATTTTCACCCACATCCTATTTCCCCACCCACTATTTAAATTTGTAAAAACACAATCTTGTATACATTTCCATCCACCATTATTACTAAAACACCCTTTAATTATTAAAGTAAAATAATAATAAAATAACATTATTAAAATATAAAATTTAAATTTAAATTATAAAAAAAGCATCTCCACCCCAAAGGGCAAAGGCAAGACAATGTTTATCACTATTCACATAAATAGTGACAGCTTTACTTTTTTTTGTTCCACTCCAAAGGACAAGGGCAAAGACAAATACTATTTATTTTAATTTATTTTTTATTTTTTTAGGGTACTGATTTTTCCACTCATTTTTTATCCACTTACACTTCATTTTTTTAAACAAAAAGGAGTGTAGATGGATAAAAGGTGAGTGGAAAAATCATTTTCCCTTTTTTATATTTAAACCATTAATTTTGATAAGCTTTTCGGATAAGATTTTCGGTTACCAAGTGTCAATATTTATTATAAAATTCTGACCTAAAAAATTCATATAACATTTTCGAATTAAATTTTCAAATTAAATTTTCAGATAAGGTTTTCGGTTGTCACGTGTCCATATTTATTATAAAATTCACATCTCACTCATCATACAATTGAAATACATACTCACTCATTATACAATTGGAATACTCCCGATCCTCATAGTCCGACACAATCGAGTACAAGGATGACTCAATCATGAGCAGAGGCGGTTCCACCAGATCACGACATGGGGGAGTATATTTTTCCTTCGGAGGACGTAATAGTACCATTATTTCCGACACGAAACGCACCATTGGATCCGACTGCGGCTATTATTCACTTGAGGAGCCATGTGGTTTTCCTCTTTTTTGTTTTGCCTTGAATAATCTATTTTAAAAAAAAAAGAAATTGGAAATGCAAGAAATGTATATTTTAAAAACTTACATTAAATTGAATAAAACGCAATTTTTTTTTTTACCTTGTCGCCAAGATTTTGACCTCTTCAAATGTTTGTCCACAACCCTCCGGCTTCGATGAAAGAGACCATTTGTATTTTTGCACAAATGAAATTTTGGTGTGAAAAGTGACAAATATTGGAAGGAGGTGAATTTTTATGAAGATTTGGTGTGGAAAGTGAATAATATTGGTAGGTATTTATAGAAAAAAATTCCATTTTTTTTTTGCTATTTTTATATGAAAATTTTGAAATTTTTTAAAGCCATAAATTGGACAGCCATTGGATTGGGCAAGATTTTTTTGATTGGAAGCTCCAGGAGAAGCCACGCACCAACAGTAAAAAAAATTTGAAAATTAGCTGCTGACATCAGTAGCCTTGGGGCAACGGCCCAGTCCATTTTTGCCTGTGAACTTGTGCGGGCTGGTTGGTCCCATGCCCTTGCAGGGCTCGATTTTCTCGCTGGAGTCTGAAATCAGGCTTAGGGTGTGTTGCCCCCCCCCCCACCCCCCCCCCCCCCCCCCCCCCCCCCCACCACCCTAAAAGCGTATACTAAATATATTTAATGGGTATTAGCATCACTCATCTTTAAATTAAGAGTGAAACCCTAACTCATACGAATAAGGCAACAAAGAAAGAACCCTTATCATTATTTGTTGCGCAACCTCCTCTTTCTCTTCTCTTATGGTGTGTTTACTAATCAGGAATTGAAATTCTCATAAGGAATTGAATTCCACCTATGGAAGATTCCTACGTTTACTTCACATCAAGGAATTGAAAAAAAAGAGTAAATTTAGGTTTTAGCCAAAAAAAATTTTCACTTTTGGAAAAAGCTTTGGCTTTTTCAAAAAAGACAGAAAAACCTCTCAACTTTCAAATCAAAGACATGCAAATGTAAAAGATTCCTTAGAAAATCCAAAAATAAATAAGGGCAATTTTGTCCATTTTGGCTTCTTTTACAAAATTTCTCTCTCCTTTGTGTTTTTCCAAAGTCTCCCATTGAAAAGTAAGTGGGGCCCATACAAAATTAGGAATTGAATTCATGATTTTGTAGGAATTCAATTCTTGGGTGTGAGGTGATATTCTAATTCCTGGAGAATTAACCCATTAGGACTTCATCTTTTTACCCATTATATCTTCACACAATTTTTAAAATTCCAAATTTGTCATGTACTTTAACCTAATAACGTGGACATTTTAGTAATTAGTACCACTCCTACCCCAGTTCCATATGATTTAGTAAACAACTTTAATAGGAATTTGGAATCTAAATCCCCTCAATCCATATGGTTTAGTAAACAACTTCAATAGGAATCTAGAGTCTAATTCTCCTCAATCCAACTCCTCTTCAATTCAATTCATCTTCAATTCAATTCCTCATAATCCAATTACGAATTAGTAAACATGCCATTAGTTTCTTCGACTCTTCATCTCCTTCTCGCTCATTTTCATTGAATCTTCCTTTCCTCTCTATCTCCAACTCTTCTCTTCCATACCCTCTCCTTCTTAGTCTCTCTCACTAGTCTCTTCATCTCTTTCAATATGCTCCTCTCTCTTCTGTTGCTGCATGGCTAGATCTGGAATTGTCTCTCTGTTGCATAACTCGTCGACTTCTTTTCTTTCTTTCTCGATGCCACTCATCGGATCTCACAGAGAAATTGGCCAAGCCAAACCAGTTTCTCGGTGAACCGAGTCAATTGGTGAAAGCTTCTTATGGTTTGACGTTGATGTTCCAAAATGGTGCACCATAAGACTTAGTTCAATGTACGATTTTTGGCTAACGACGTGGTTTGGTTCAGGTGCCCAGTGCTAGTTTTCGCCTATTTGAAAGAGAAATATATTCATATATATTAAGTTACAAAAGATCATAAGAGTAAGGGGCAAGAAGATTGTGAAATGAGATAACCCTTTTTATTTGAGCTTGTTGTTTTTGGTGTTGCGGTGACAGTGGCTTCTAGCTCTGGTACTGGGGATGAAAGACCTCTAACAAAGAAGCATAAGAAATCGAACGGGGTTGGGAAGGGGGGAGAGATGAGAGAGTTTTTTTTTAAAAATTTTAATAAATGTTATTTAAGTTAATTTTTTTTTATTTGAAATGCTTTAAAAAAAAAAAATCATAGGTCCTTAGAAGTCATTTTACAAAGGGATAAATTTATCTTTAAAATTTTGAAGATAAGTGGGTGGGAAAATATGAGGGGGACTGCGAACTAGATAGAGGTGGGAGGCTGTGGCGTAGTTTCTTTGTTTTTGTCTCTTTTGCTTTTCTTCTGAAAGGTAATATTGGAACCCAACATCTAACTGGCAAAAAGTTTTAATTTTTTTTAAAGACACATGGCAATATCTGAGTGGAAGTATCACCAGCTAACATGATGATACCATATCATTCTATAATTTCTTGTCTCATTGAAGTAGGAAAAACAAATAAAATTTGGCGTTACCAAAATGGGTAGATTTCACAACTTAACGAGATCACAAAACTAATAATATCCATCTGTAGGGGACTTTTTCTTCCAGCAGCTGTAAATGGGCTGGGCTGCTGTAAAGGGCAAATTGATGAAATTGTCCCCTTTGTTTGAGTTCAAAAATTAAGCCCCAAAAATGCTTCAAAAGGGCAGCAAAGCCTTAGGAAGTATTTTGGTTACCTTCACCAACAAAAACAATGACAACTTACAGGTAATTTTTGCATGCTTACAGATAAACTTTTGAGCTTGGCATGAGAGGCATGTGGCATGGAAGCAAAATCAACATGAGTTTAGCACTAAGGTGAAATTTAGGCTTTCTTAAGGGGAAAAAGGGAAGTGTTAAGGTGAGAAAGGAGAGATTTGTAGGAGATTTGGCTAGGAAGAGAGAAATGAAGAACAATGCTCTTCCGGCAGCTTGACAGATACTCTGTCTGGCAGAAGAGAAAAATGGAGAAGAGGGTGAACAGTGCACGAGATTGCTGGGTTTTTGCAAGTTAGAGAGAAAGCTTGCTCTTTGAATCTGGGTTGCTTTCGTTGGGTAGGAGATGCCTCATTTTATAGCTGCTGGAAATCATCCCTTCCCAAGAAACCTTAATGGTTTCTACCCATTTTGGCTAAGTTTTTCCCTTCCTTTCTCTTCTCCTCCTTTGGCTTTTCCTATCTTGGTGAAATTTCCTCTGTCTATTCACACAAAATCAGGAACTTTGGGAGCTCAAGGCCCCTTTCCCGTGGCTGTTCTAGTAGGAGGCTCCATTCTTAGCTATTTTTCTTCTTCTTTCCTTCCTCATTCCTTAGCCAGATCTGATGAAGAAAAGGAAGTGGATATACATGCTGGTTCAAAGGGTGCTTCTGGCAGCTCGCAGGCTAATATTCTTTGGTTCCTTGAATGTTTCTTACTTGGAACTTGCTCCCCCCATGTGCTGGAACCTCCAGCAACTTTGTTTAATAAATCTTTAGACCTCCCCCTTCGTGGCTTCTATTTTTCTAGCAAGGGGCTGAGGCTTTTGTGGCTTATTTTGGAGTTTTGTATAGGGCCAAGGTGGTTCCTTAAGTAAGTGGGTTATTTAAAACGTTTGAGTTTTTTGGTTAAGTCAATAGGCTATTTTGATTGAGCTTATTTTTGGTTGAGTTATTTTCCCTTTTGTGCTCACTCATGTGTTTGGGCTTGAGTCCCGAGGCTCCCAAGCGACCCGAGACTTCCATTTCTCGGCCCATCAATGAGCCTCATGTTGATTTATTATCATCCATACCACAACCCACTCAAGCAAGCCCTGAGTATTTGAGCGGCTTGGGCCCGCTTAGGCTTATAGCATGGTTGGGTGCGAAATAACGATTTCGTGCTTGGCATGACATGTCGCTTGGCACGTTTTTAATTGTGATGCTTGATGGGTTAATTAGCATGAATTTGTAGAGCTAATGCATTTTATCATCTTAATCTCGATTCCTAGCATAACGGATTATTTATTTGGCATGACACATGGAGTGAGATTCGTGCATGGCGGATCTTCACATGCTCCAAATTGGGGCTTTTCTAAATAATGCCTCACTTCGGGCCAGGAATTTATTCGGGCCCAACCGGTGATTTTTTGGGTCTCAACACCATCCAAGGACAACTCACATTATTATGGCATGGCCTATATTTGACGGCAATATTGACATAATGTAACAATTTAAGATTGTTTTACCCTTATATTTGATGACAATATTGACAGAATCTCGTTGAAGTGAGCTGTGAGGAGGAGAAGATGGAGCGAAATCCCTGATTTAGGACTGTTTTACCCATATATTTGACAACAATATTGAGGGACGAAGAAAAGCATTCCTTGCTTTTCCCCACTCCTCTAGTAGACATGAACTTAATTCGAAGAGCTGGCACATAAACATGGAATTTATACCCAGCTCTCCCAATTAGAAACATCAACTCTCCCAATCAGAAACATCTGAGCCTTCTATATCAGTATGCAAGTCGAATGCTTACCGCTATTAGGCCTTTAATGGGCTTGATGAAGACCCAGTAGCAGCATAAGAAAGGGCCTAAGGATTTTAGTATGACTAGTGTTTCCATCCGCCATATTATATACATATTTACGCAAACCATCACTTTGACTTCTGATCCTTGCTTCTGATTTAGTGAACCTCCTGCCCTTCTCTCTCGTCTTGCTCCTTTTGAGAGAGGGATATTTGAGGATTATGTGGCTAACTTTTGGTGACAAAACAGCAGACAACCTACATACTTACATGCATATTGATATAGAAGGCTCAAATGTTTTCGATTGGGAGAGCGGGGTAGAAATTCCATGTTTATGTGCCAACTCTTTGGATTAAGTTCCCGTCTCCAAGCGGAGAGGGGAAAAGCAAGGAATGCTTTTCTTCGTCCCTCCAGAAAATGTGGTGGAACACGCTTAAACTATGTGCATTTCTTTCAAGATAGGAGTGCATATCTTGAATGCAAAATAGCTTTTTGCGCCTAAATCTTATCCAAAAAAGAAAAGTGGTTTGTCTTCCCTAGTAGTCTTTGGCAGACGAGTAATCAAAGCTAGGAGCCCCTTTTTTTCATCGGAAATGGTAGTTAGGTCTGATTCTTCTCAATATGCGAAATCAAAGGAAAGGGCGATCTGGTGGATGAGCTTGAGTTTGAAGCCTTCGAAAAGACAATGTCCTTTGGTATCGCCTAAGGAGGCTCGTGAGTTGATTCATGACTCGGTGAATAAGCAAAATAGAATAAGTAGCTTCGTGGGGTGATTTAGAGTTTTGGAGGAATTTAAAAAATTTTGTGACCCTTGGGTCAAATCTATTAGGTAAAAAGCTTTTAAGCAAGTAAGTGAGGAAAGAAAGTAGACTAATGATGTTCACCCGCGAGTTAACAATCAAGATTCCTAGGCGTATCGTCCAGTTATCCAATTCAACAATTATCCCATTATGTAACACTTCCACTCAGATATTGCCATGTATCTTTAAAAAAAAATTAAACTGTTTTTCCAACTTGATATTGGGTTCCAATTCTCCCTCAAAACCTCTAGATTCAAGTTATCTTTATCCAATTTTTCTCATGGGCTTGACAAGAGAAGATTTGAGAAACATCCAGAAAGATCCCAAGAAATTCTTGATACTTAGAGATAATATTTTGGGCCTCGTAGAATGTGATGATAAAAGCCAACTGAGAGAGAGAGAGAGAGAGAGAGAGAGAGGGGGGGGGGCCCGATTTAGGACTATTTTACCCCTATATTTGACGACAATATTGACATAATATAACGTGATGATACCGTATTATTATATAATTTCTCCATTTATTGGAGAATGCGATAGAGAAAACCAAGTAATGGCCAATTGAGAAGGGTACCGTATTCAAATTTAAATGGGCTACTTTTATCAACAAATAACGCGTTAATTCAAACTCCCACCAAACACAGCCTTACAGAGTACAATCTAATTAAACGGAGAGTGAGTTTCGAAAATATAAAAAAATAAAAAATCCTTTTTACCCGTGGAGCCAAACGCCCCCTTCTTCCCTCTCCTTCTGTACTGTGTACAAAACCCTAGTCCTCCACTCTACCAAACACACCAGAGCTTCCTCCTTAAATTCCTCCTTTTCCCACTAATTGCCATTTTCGCTTTCACGAAAATGAAAAACAAAAATTAATTTCATTGTTTCCTTTTCCACAAATTTCCTTTTCTGCATTTATATAAGTTTTATTTTTATTTTTGTATAAATGCATAAGCGATCTGATGGGCCGGCTTCGGAGCCGGTACGGACGAGCGGAAGGGTGAGGAGACGGCCCACAGCGTACGGGCGAAGCATGTACTATTACAACACAAGCACCTCCAGCCTCATTCAAAAACGCAGAAATCGGAAGAACAAGACGAAGACCAGAACTGCGGCTTCTCATATTGCTAAGATAATGCGCCATGGCAGCCGTTCCCAAAGATCCACCCAACCCAGTACTCCTCCTGACTCCAATAACCATAATGTAAGACGAACTTTCTTCAGTTTTTAATATGTTTATTTTTTGCTTGATATTGATTGGATATGATGTTATTATATTTAGTTTGTTCTGTTGTTTGCTAGGTTTAATGATTGATGTGGTTATAATTTTAGGGTTTTGATTTTTAGTAGGGTTTTTGAGGGAATTGTGATGTGAATCTGCATGTTTGTTTGTTTCGTTAGTTTGCTTTGATTTTGCATGTGACTTAAATAATGGTCAGGAAAGGGTTTTAAGTGATTTTACATATAAGTAGTGGGATTGGAGTGGGGTTTTAAGTGATTTCCCTCAAATTTAAATTTGGTGTTAGGTTAGGGCAGGAGTGAAGATGACCTAATCCTCACTTCCCATTTCTCATATGAAGTCTCTGATATATGCACATATATAATTTTTTTTCTGCATTTGTTTTCAGGCAGAAGCATCCAATCTCCGACGCTCTACAAGGAAGAGAAAGGAAACAAAGAATCGTGACCTTTATACAACAGATGACAGTTCCGGAAGTGAGGATTTAGATATAATGGTGAGGTTTTATACTCAACTATGCATGTTACATTTATGAAGGTTAATTACTGCTACAGATGCTTGTAAAACATGATATGTTGCCTGAACTGAATTTTGGGCTTGTTTTGGTTTCAGAAAGCTACAGGTAAATCTATGAAAAATCAGGTTCATAATAGTGCATGTAAAGATGAGCCATCATCTCCCAAGCATAAAAAGATAGTGGAGACTAGACAAACACCTCGTCGTGAAGGATTGCGCCCTCGTCGATTAAAGGCATCAAGAGAACAGTTGGTTTTGCGGTTTGATGATGAACAGGATACTTCAGAAGAGAAGATTGACCAAGAGGAAACTGAAAATGGGAATGACATAGAATACAATGAGGCAGATGATGGTCAAAATGAAGGTGACGGAGAAGATGTGGGTGATGGTGATGGTGATGATGATGGTGATGGTGATGAAGATGGTGATGATGAGGAGGGTGAAGAAGAACAAGACGGAAGAAGACGATATGATCTTCGAAATCGTGCAGATGTCCGTAAGCTAAGACCAAGATCTCCTCGAAGAGTGTTGCGTCAAGGAATGGGGACAAAGGTTGGTAGGGATGTTAGAAAGGGTGGATCACGAGTTCATAAGCGCCATCGTATGACAAGGACTGATGATTCTGATGACTCCCTTCTCGTGGACGAACTAGATCAAGGCCCTGCAATTCCCTGGGGCCGAGGTGGGAGCAGATCTGGACCACCGTGGCTTTTTGGGGGACTAGACACACATGGAACAACAGCATGGGGGTTGAATGTTGCTGCGTCAGGTTGGGGTCATCAGGGTGATGCTTTTGCCACTTTAACTTCTGGAATTCAAACTGCTGGGCCAAGCTCGAAGGGAGGGGCAGACATACAACCATTGCAGGTTGATGAGAGTGTGAGTTTTGATGATATAGGGGGGCTTTCTGAATATATTGATGCTTTGAAGGAAATGGTTTTCTTTCCTCTATTATATCCAGATTTCTTTGCGAGTTATCATATTACCCCACCAAGGGGGGTTTTGTTATGTGGTCCTCCTGGGACTGGGAAAACATTGATTGCCAGAGCATTAGCCTGTGCTGCATCCAAGGCTGGCCAGAAAGTCAGCTTTTACATGCGGAAGGGTGCAGATGTGCTAAGCAAATGGGTGGGTGAGGCTGAAAGACAATTAAAACTACTTTTTGAGGAAGCTCAAAGAAATCAACCTTCAATAATATTCTTTGATGAAATAGATGGACTTGCTCCTGTAAGGTCCAGCAAACAAGAGCAAATTCATAATTCTATTGTGTCAACTTTGCTTGCTTTGATGGATGGTCTTGATTCCCGTGGACAAGTCGTTTTGATTGGAGCAACCAACCGGATTGATGCAATTGATGGAGCCCTCCGACGCCCTGGTAGATTTGACCGTGAATTCAACTTTCCTTTGCCAGGATGTGAGGCACGGTCTGAAATTTTGGACATTCATACTCGAAAATGGAAGCATCCTCCTTCAAGGGAGCTAAAACTGGAACTTGCAGCTAGTTGTGTTGGATATTGCGGTGCTGATTTAAAGGCTCTTTGTACTGAAGCTGCCATTCGTGCTTTCCGTGAAAAATATCCTCAGGTTTACACAAGTGATGATAAATTTGTAATTGATGTTGACTCAGTAAAGGTTGAAAAGTATCACTTTGTTGAAGCAATGTCAACAATTACTCCAGCTGCTCACAGAGGAGCGGTTGTGCACTCCAGGCCATTGTCCTTGGTAGTTGCACCATGCCTGCAAAGGCATCTCCGAAAATCCATGAACTATATATCCGATATTTTCCCTCCCCTTGCAGTGACATCACAGTTAACCAAGCTTGCTATGCTCTCCTCTGGCTCTGCAATTCCTCTTGTCTACAGGCCTCGGCTTCTGCTATGTGGCGGTGAAGGTTCTGGTCTGGTAATTATCGTGGATCCTCTTCGTATTGACAAATTGGTTGTAATGGGAAGACAAACTAAATTTACTTACTGCTTTAGTTTTACAGGATCATCTTGGCCCTGCTATTTTACATGAACTCGAGAAATTCCCTGTTCATTCTTTAGGACTTCCATCTCTTCTATCTGATCCTAGTGCAAAGACACCAGATGAGGCATTGGTACATATATTTGGTGAAGCAAGGAGAACAACCCCATCAATTCTCTATTTGCCTCAGCTCAATCTTTGGTGGGAGACAGTGAGTGCATGCTTTTTGTTTCATATCATTGTTAATTAAATGGCTGTCAATGATCAGATTCTACTAGTCTATTTTGTGCTATTTGAGGTTGATGGATTCATTCTGCAGGCACATGAGCAGCTCCGAGCTGTTTTGCTGACGTTGCTAGAAGAATTACCATCAGACTTGCCAATATTACTGCTTGCAACATCATCAATCCCACCTGCTGAAGTTGATGCCACAGCTTCTTCAGTATTTTCTGATCGTTCAGTGTATGTTATCATCTATTAAAAACCAACCATTATTTGTGAATCCAAATGCTGTGTTTGTCTGAGACATTTTTTGAGCTGGTATGCAACTTCTAAATCTTTTATTTGTCTCGCCTGAAAAAAAAAAATCGTTAATATTTCAGTAGCATTTGGTTTGCAACTTCCTAACCTAATTGGATCAAACGCAGTAGCATTTGGTTTGCGCCTTAAAGACTTTCTTGTTCTTTTTTTTCTTTTTGACTTTTAGAAGGGAACAGAATTTTTCATCCTGATTAAACGGTACCTTTTGGGAAGGAAACAGGGAAAAAAGAAAAATTTCTTTTAAGCTGGACAACATAATAAATTGCTTTCAAAAGAAAAATTTTAACTAGTAGGAGCTACACCGGAGATTGAAAAATTGTTTTCACTTTTATTTATATATCTTGTTGTTTTTGGTAATGTAATCCATTAGTTGTATTGCGAAAGGAAGAAACAAACCTTTTTTAAGATGAGTTTCATTTTACTTTTTGCATGGGATTAGATGGAAAGTTTAAAAGTCTAAGATTAAAATCTACCTATGAAAGTGTAATCACATTGGATTCAAGCCTGCTCAAATTGCTACATGATCTGAGGTTTGTGGTGTGCCAAGCTGCCGTTCCCAATCCTCATATCATAATTGTCTGCATTATAGGTATCATACTTGGCATTTCTTGGGTTGTCAAAGAACTGTTTTTAAGATTCTTGAAAATTGATGAAAAAAACCATGGCAACTAATATTAGACTTCCACCGCTAAGATTTTCTCCTTACACTCTTAATAAACAATTATAGCAAAGAGATTTCGTCATGGGATTGCACATGCATTTCGGTTTTCACATGTTGTGTGATTACCTGATGGTTTCTAAAAGCTTTATGTTTTGAATTTGTTCTCTGGATTGTAATATGATGTTATTTCACTACTATACAGAAATACCAAATTTAAGATTTATCAATTTATTCTCTTATCATAGTTTTATTTTTATTTAGTTCATAAATCATCTTTGATAATTTATTGAGTATTTTTCATGGCTATGATTCTAGTCATATTTTTGCTTTTTGTTATCAGCTATCAGTTGGGCAAACCATCTACTGAAGACAGATTTTTGTTTTTTGACCATCTCATCGAAGCTGCTTTGTCAGTCTTGTTAGAGGGCATAACAAAAAAGTCTCAAGAATCAGTATCTGTTCCTGAACTTCCCAAGGCTCCAAAAGTGGCAAGTGGTCCAAAGGTCTCGGAGTTAAAAGCCAAGGTAGAAGCTGAGCAGCATGCGCTTCGCCGATTGCGGATGTGCCTCAGAGATGTTTGCAATAGGTTAGATAATCCTTACTGTGTCCCTGTCCCTTTGTGATGATTGGTGTATCTTCTTACTGGTTACTTGCATTTGCCGGTGGTTTACAAAGAGAGAATTTAATGAAGAATTTGGAAACTGTACCATTGTAATTTTTTGTAATACTTCCTCATCTGTAAGTAGTATCTGTTTTACTTGAAATTAAGAAATTGAGTGCTTCTGTTTAGTCTGGCTTTTATGTTGGATGTGGTGATGTTCATGTTATTCAGAATAGGGGTCATTTGGCTCATGGCATGAGAATAATTCATTATATATATAATTTATCTCTACTTATATACTTTTTTTTTCCTATGCTGCAGACTTTTATATGATAAGAGGTTTGGTGCTTTCCACTATCCTGTGTCGGAGGAGGATGCTCCAAACTATCGCACAATCATTCAGAACCCTATTGATGTGGCTAAGCTGCTGCAGAATGTAGACTCTGGGCAGTATATTACATGTTCTTCATTCCTGCAAGATGTTGATCTTATAGTTTCCAACGCAAAGGTTTGTGGTGCTTGCTGTAGTTTTTACCTGTTAATTTATAATAATTGCAATGACATCTGATAGACTGAAAGGATTTAGGAGGTTGGCCATTTCATTTTGTTCTGTTTTTGTAATCATGACATGTTATTCTGTTTTATGTTGCCTTCTGTTCTTTGATGTCTCGTGACGTGGCATTTCTTTTTCCTTAGGTTTAACTTTTAAGAAGCATGGTGTCTCATGGTAGTTCATTTGCACTTCTTTCGAGTTTGGATTTTATTCCCCTTCTTCTACCAACGTACAATGTTCGAAAAATCGCTAGGTGGTAGGCGAGTGGCAGGCAGGGGCCTAGCGCCTAGAGGAGTAACTGGGGCCTTGGAGCGGTGCCTAGGCGTTTCTTTTTTTATTATATTTATTTTGTATTATAAATTATAATTTATCCCAAAGTCATGCAAAACATAAAAACTGGGAATATTTGAAAAACATCATGCTCTCACTCTTGATTTTTGATTTTTGATTTTCTGATTTCTATGTTCAAGAATTTGTTTTGCAAAGAAAGCTCAAAATTGTTGTTGTCATTGTGTTTGTTTTGTAAATTGTATCATGTGTCAGTTTTATGTATTCTGCTATCTTGAATGCAGGCTTACAATGGAGATGATTATAATGGTGCTAGGATTGTTAGCAGAGCTCATGAGCTTCGAGACGCAGTAAGTTAGACTGTTATTATTATTATTTATATATTTTATTTGAGGTTTTTGGCTTTTGCATTTCTTATATGTATTATTTTTCTCCTCAGGTACATGGGATGCTGTCACAAATGGACCCTGCACTAGTTGCATATTGTGACAAGATTGCAGCTGAAGGTGGTCCAGAACATATTCCAGATGGTTTAGGGGTATCTACTTTCCCCGTGATACCTGTTGTACAGCTGGGAACTGTCACTAGAGCGAGTGCTCGACTTCGTAATGTCCAGCTGGAGGTGCCTGTGGATCAAAATTATGAGGCTTGCAGACGGCCAAAGAGGATTGTCGAGCCCCAGCTGGAGGTGCCAGTGGATCAAAATTATGAGGCTTTGAAACAGCCAAAGAGGAATGCCGAGCCCCAGCTGGAGGTACATGTGGATGAAAATTATGAGGTTTTGAAATGGCCAAACAGGAATGTTGAGCCCGCACATGCAGGTAACTCCAAGCCTTTCCATGGCTATATACATGTTTTATTTTTCAATATTCAATTTACTGTCTAGCGTCTAGAGTTGAGTGACTTTAGGACTGCTCTTGGTTGCCTCCTGTAATTTTGAAATATTTATTCCTGAGAGCCCTCATAAGAAAGAAGGCAAAAGGCAAAAGAGATTGGACGATTGGAGAAATGAAGGCTACTCAAGGCCGAAGGTGTAGTCCAATGTCACTTGCTCTAAATGTTGAAGTAGAAATATGTATCTTTCCTTTTAAGTGTCTTCTAGCATTCCCAAAGTCTTTCTGAAGCCTTATTTTTGTAGTTTGATATGCTTTTTAGTTGAACACGGTTTTCTATGGGTGTTTGAATAAGATCATAATATCACTTCTTGATGTTGACTTTCCTGGTGATGATCAGCTTCAACTGCAGAGGACAAGTCATGGCTTCAGGATTCAATACTGTCCAAGTCATCGCAGGAACCTGAGACAAATGAAACTAATCCTGAAGTGCCAGAATCCTCCCATCAGCATGAAACTTCTGGAGAAATTTCTGGCCATAATTCTCATGTGATTGGATCCCAAGACATCACCATGTCAGATGGTGAGATGACAAACCAAATAGAGTCTGTGAGGCGACTTTTTGTGGAAAGGACTGAAAACTATGACATTCCACAGCTAGAGAGGCTTTATACTAGAATTATGAAGGGCATTTTTGACATCAAGCACAAAGGTGATATAGATGGCACCAAGCCTTCAATTTTGAGGTATTTATTGAAATTTGCGGAGGGTGAAGCAAATTTATGATTTCTTAAAAACAAAGTATAAATCCTTTAGTCAGATGTAAAGTCGGGATCTTCTTTTTATTGCAGATTTGTTGAGTTATATAGATCTCCCTATCTCTCTCATACTTTTTGTGTATACATCTGATCTCCACATGGCATGCTGACGTGTTGTGACGAATCCATCCGTTGTGTTTTAATTATTAATTTCCTTGTGTTATAACATGTAAAGATTCGTAATATGACTTGGGCATGGCCGCATAATGTATTAGATACACAATTTTTTTGCCAAATACGAGGTAAAGTCGCTCTTCTAGACGCCGCATAATGTATTATAACATGTAAAGAACCGTTGATACAAAGGTTTTTTTTGTTATTGTTAGTGTTGTTTCTATCATAACCAACGCTAATTGAAGATAAATATCAAAGAACAAAATGACGGGCTACTTTTGCTAAAGGCCTGAAGAGATTGTGGTGCAAATCCTATATATATCATGGTATCCTATGATCAATAGTTCCACCTTCGTTGCCAATTCCATGCACACTAATCTCTTCACTTGCCTACTTTTCAAGCCTTCTGTCCTTTCGCAAGAACAAGATTAGTTATTGTGATTAGATGAACCTATCAGTTCCATTACGGAATGAATCACACAAATTTCGGTGAGGTGGGAGAAGAGATGTGGAGGAAAAGGAAATGCGAAAGATTTAATCATCTTTTTACTAGGGATTTTAAATAAAGAATAAGAAACTTAAAATGAAACTGAGTGACGTTGCATGTCCAAAATCCCGTCACTTAAGGTTTTTGTTTTTGTTTTTTGTTTGGTCTTAGAAGGGAGATTCGAACTTTTGACCTCCATTTCGTGACCTTGATTCTAAGTCTGAAATTTTATATCAAATACTTGAAACCTATCAAAATTGAGACCTGTGTGGTATAAACTCACATGGTAACTCACAAGTAATAATATATAGAAAGGTAGGGCACCCACATATAAAGAGATGAGCTCATCGAAAACCTATTTGAGAGGGACAAATTAATCCATAGCTCTCTGATTCATACACCAAAGTAAACAATCCACATGCCACAGCTAGGAGGCAAAGGACTTGTTATAAAAGTTAGCATCAGTTAATACATACGTTTACAAAATAGCTCAAACGGGAGTATATTATATATATATTTGTTAGGATACTTGAGGATGCGTTAACACTTTTTTGTATAAATTTGATAATGCATTGATATTTTTCCCTCTATTTCCTTTTGACTTTACTGAAGCCAAACAAAAACCTGAACTAACAATCTTCAGCAAAATGCAGTTTCTATCTTTCCAACAAGGAACCTAGAACTGCTTGGCCTGGCCTGCCATACTTCGCAATTTTACCAGTATTTGAGCTGCAGCCGATTCTCTTGCCTCACGAGGATTGGAACACAGGTCACCCCCACTTGAACAATCAAAATCCATCCCTTTTACTGTCACCTCAGCTTGGAATCCACCTTTCAAACACAAATAAATTACCATTAGTTTTAACTCTGCATTGCAGTCGATTAATCTACTAATGCAGGATACGTTGTTGATTTCAACGATGATCTTCTAGAGATTACATTACCAGGCAAGTTCTCCAAAAGGCAGAACTAAAACCCTACTGCAGAATAACCAGTTTCCAGAATTGTTATGCAAGTTCTAATCAAATCAACAGCTTTACACCAAAAACACAGCTGTGAGACAAGAAGGAAGACAATGAAGACCCACCAACACTTAATAATGTCTCAATCTTTAGGTTTATGAATTTCAGTACAATGCTGAAAGAGGTTAAAAGAAGGGATCTGGTGGATAGAAGCTACTAAGGATTATTTTGTAAAACATTTGATGGATCATGAAAGTCAAAGATGACAATCCCAGCACATTCTAAACCTTTTGGAAGATTAAATTGGCGTGGCTCTGCCACATTATTGCCCAAAAAAGAATCCTCGAAGCAGTCCAACATGATTAAAAAAAACAAAAGGAAAATCCTACCTGATTAACTAAATATTGAAAGGTCGTACAAAAAATCCTTTTTCATATAAAGTGCAGGAACAGCAACAAGATCAGAGGAACATTAAGCAATGATATAACATCCTTTTTTCCCCATAGGAAAATCAATTCTATTTAAAAGCGCAGTTTAAATTGCATGTGAAAATAAAAACAGTTCAAATCTAAATGATCTTACCATCTGATGGGGATACACGATAAGTTGGTAATACCCAATTGTTTTCATAGCATGCATCATCCAGATCCTGCCAAGTTGACAGTGTTATAAGAATGTATAAGAAATCAAATCTGTAAGCTTCTAATTTGTAACTTCTATATCTAAATCTGAATAAAAATGAGTGGGGATTTCATAGAAGAGCTAAAGATCCCTATAATGAAAACCAACTTGCACAAGGTTCCAAAGCATATGGTTCAATAATAATTTGAACCGATGATGTCTTCATCCAAATACGATAGATCAGTGGCTTGTTAACGCAGATGAAGACCAAGAGTTCATTGGTAAATTGTAAGATATTTCGCACAGCAGTTCCAATGCTCAGATATTCTGGAACAATCATCAACAAAGGAAACAAAATAAGAGAAGCCCAACATGCTTTTATCTCTAGAGGCACACCAAGACCAAACAGAAACAGCCAAAAACCTAGAAATTCAGCATCCTAGTCCACATTCAGCAAGAAAAAAGGAAAGCCTTAAAAACCGTTAGTAACCGATGCCCTGAAATATAAGTGTATCCCATAAGAAGTCAACTACCTCCTCACTTTTACCCTAAAAGGTTCTGCTATTTCTCCCTAACCAGGCTACCCAAAATTGCCAAAGCTCCATAATCCTGCAAAACTTTTTCCTTTTCCCTCTACCAAAAGCAACAAAAGGTCTGAACGAATGGGAAAACACCCAATGAATAACCCAAGAAACTTCTTATACTTCTTTTGAAGCCAACTCTTAAAATTTGTTTTGTAGGATGCAAAAGAATAGAACCTTGAAGATGTCTCAAATGGGATTTTAATGGAATGCCTATTCTGATTAACCTTCAATTCTCAATTGGCATAAGCAATGAGAAGAAAATACAATCCAATAGGGGAACTTGCCTGGCATGGATTTTGCTCTTTGAGAATGGCCTCTGACAACCTCTTCCTGTTGCTACTTTGGGGGAGTTGGTCTTCAAGCAGTCGATGAGTCCTTCCACTTCTTACACAGACATCATTACAACCTTCTATAATGGACTCTACCTTTAGTGCCAAATCATCTTCACCACCTATTGTAGTAAAAAAATTGATATGGAAGTATACGTCAAGTACTGTACAACCATTGCACAGGAGCCCTTACCTCTAAATATGCAGGGATAGACTCCAGCACTTGCGATTCCAAGTCTTTACCAATAAATATATACATATGAAAAAACACTGTTCAAGACAATAGTGTTTCACCATGTGCACAACGTGTGCTAAGTATTAAGTTCAAACAAGGGACACATAATTTCAAACTTCTACACTTTTCAGTTTTGGTAATCTCCCCAACTATAAAGTGCTTTTACCTAGCTTTTTTACTTCTGATCATAAGAAGCGTTAGAAGGTTGTTAGGCTTCATTTATCACCACTTATGCTTCATTTTTCAATTAGCCTATTATGGTTTGATTTTTTAATCAAAGGTTGGATTCTAATACTTGAGATTGTTTTCCAAATTTTGGTAACCTGTGTACCATAAATGGCCAAGACTGAGTGGAGAGTCTTTAAATTTCACAATATCTTTTTTTAGGAGTCCACAAACTATATAGTCTAACATAACCCAAAGTGAGGCCACTAACAGTTTTACCACTAACAGTTTTTTGCATTGGCTTTGATTATTTTGTCTAATAAGTAGGAGGTACAACTATTTTACATATTGAGTTTATGCAGTGGTGCCGTGAGCTGCCTTGTTTTAATAATATTTTCTTAAAATGAAAGTTATAAACAGATGAATTTGATTGAGTTAGGTTGTTTTCTTTGCTTAAATAGATACAATACCACAAATTAGTTTCTTAGTTTGATATGTCAAACATAACTTAAACAATAAAAAATACAGAAACAATAAAAATTAGGTTCCATGCATCAAATAGGTTTCAAACTAGTTCATAAGAAAAAAAAACAAAAGGTAACCACAAGGTCAGCATTGAGTCACTGATCATCTTTTGGTACTCTGCAGATGCAAGGCACTTACATTTAGATTCTAACTCGCTACTTAAGGCAGTATTCAAGACTTCTAAATTATGGTCATTTCAACATACTTGGCACACCGCAATTCCAGCATATAGGAAATAGTAGTCTTATAATGGACTAGAATTCAAGGAACACTTCAGATTCTCATCATGGAAGAACTAACAATTAAAAACAGTACAACTCAAAAATCAGTTTATGGCATCAGTTTTTACTCTCCCACCTGCCACCATTATGAATACACTTAACTTGGTGGGGTTATGAGACAAGAAGCTTATCCGTTTAAGATCTTGTTGTGATTGGACTTTCTCGTATACTTTGTACATTTGAGTGTAAACATGTAAAATAGAAAAGTTTAAGAGAAAAAATCAGGCAGAAAGGAGGATAAATAAATAACCAAAATAGAATAACTTGAAAGAAAATAATACCATTTAAAATCGTCTGGATTTTTTTATCACACTGAGCAATCTCATCCTCAATATTCCGCTGCTGAATAGACTGCGTGGATGAGTAAATGAGTCTAAAAAGAACAAGTTCATTTTAAATATAAAAAATATAAAAACTAGTAAAGCAAATATGTTACAGCAGAAGGATGTAAAATTTAACCATTCGATAGGTCCACAAACAGAGTCTCGTGTATTTAACCATTCTAATTGTTGAGGGACTGACTGGTATACAACAATTTGAACTTTGAAGGATGTAAAATTGCAAACAAAATTGCACCATCTCAATTTGGTATATCTGATTGGGATATAGCAACTTTACTGGTGCCAAACCACTAATGCACATGTGCTCAGGCCACTCCCAGTTACCTTATCTATAGAAGACATGCGTTTGATTATCTAGAAGGAACTCATCCTAATAGTAATTAGATCAGGACGCCAAGGTAATTATGGAAAGAAAAAAAAGTATTACCAGTTCATCCCTTTTTTTCATAAGAACTTTCAAAGCAGTTTGTGACAAGATGTTTTCTTTAGAAGCTATAGCAATCTGAAGCTTGTAAAGATCTTCGGAACTTGATTGATAGGTGACAATGGCAGGACCATCTATACCATCTTGATCTGATGAGTCAATGGAACAGATCTTCTTTCCAGCAACAATTTTTTAGCTCCACGGTCAGTAATGAATGGCCTTGTTTTTGAGTTCACCACCTTGACCTGCCCACCAGGCAACAGGCTATCAGATGATATAGAAATAATTTTAAAGAATCTAATTATGTTAAGTACAAACTCTAAAGATTCTAGGCCTAATGAAACAAAAGAACTGATCTGCACTTGAAATTTAAGCATAAAAGTGTGCTCGAGTACCTTAACATATGACACTTTTTTATGAAATGTTTAATCTGACATGTAATAAGTGAAGTACTTGAGATGTAATAAGTGAAAAAAAACCAACAACCACAGATTTGTGAACCTCAACCTACATTTGGTAAGCCCCATTAATTTTTTTCTAAGCACAAGTATGTACCTAGAAATCACAGGGAACTACAGACTCACATATGAGATGTAGAGAAGGAAAAATGTTGAAGTGGGTAAAGAAGTCTAAACTTTTCATTAACATTACTTGCTGAGCAATTTAATCCATTTTCATTACAGGATGTCATGTTGGAAACTTGAATGGTGCTTAATATATTCTTGCAGGGTTCTCTATTTTGTGAGGGAACCATGGGAGAGTCATCTACCTCAATTTTCTGAGGCCCATTGAAAGCATCAGCCAAACTTGTCTTGCAACATCCAGTGGTATCTTTCTGCTCCCTTGATTGAGGTTTAGATCCGGGTGTATCTTTTTCAAGATTCTCTATATGGTGTTTGACAACTTGAATGGTGCTTGAAATTTTCTTACAACTCTGTTCATTCTGCAAGGGGACCATGGAAGAGTCATCCACTTCCATTTTCTGTGGCCCGTTGGAGGCATCAGCCAAACTTGTCTTGCAACATCCACTTGTATCTTTCTGCTTCCATGATTGAGGATTAGAACCAGTTGTGTTTTCAACATTCTCTATCATGATACCTTTTTCATGAGACTTGTCTCGGCTTTTATCAAGTTCTAGCTTGCAAGGTGTTTCAACCCTATCAGGGCTGTTTACAGTTATATTTTCCTCATCTAGCCTTGAATCTTGCAAACCATTTGAGGATTCTCTCCTGCAAGTGAGAAAAACACATGTTAGGTAAATAAAAGACAATTTGGAGACATTAAATCAGTATTCAAGCAGTGCTGCTAAATGAAATCAAATAGAAAGCACAGGGAAAAACTTTCCACATTCCTATAATCCCAATAACGAATAGAGGACCAAAAAAGTTCCTATGGCTAAAGTCACCATTTATTCGTTCAATGTTTCTATAAAAGTTCATAAAACAATGAGTTTCAACACTGGCCTCGAGTGTTTTGGCAATGTTACCAAAGATAGAAAACACTGAGGTTTGTTTGTTTCTACGGCCAACGCTAAAAACACATCACAAAATAAGGACATGATGAGCTAATGAATCTCATATTCCAGCGTGTCGAAAAAGGTGTTACCGAAGTTATGTGGTACTGTGTCATGGCAGGGTAGCTAATAGCTAAGACCTGACAAATGGGTTCAAAACCCACAATCATAAAAAAGAGCCTTGCAAATGGGGTAGGTCAAGTGTTAATCTTAAAAGAGTAAATATATAATAATAATAATAAATTACAAGGATTAAGATTAGTATGATTCTTTGCATCTTACAGTACCAAAATCTGATGTAATACCCATTGACATTTGTTTTGGAAAAAATAAACCTCAGCCAAATACTCTTTATCCTGAAGAATGTTTCAATCAAGCATAAGAGGCAATAATAGAATCATGTAATAAAGAGGATGTCCAAGGATTATAATTACTAGTACTGCAGCTAGAAATCTGCATCGAAGACACAAAAACTACTATGCACAATTATTGTGTTTCTAATTAGACAAAAAGAAAAAAAAACTACAAAATATCAAGAAAGTAAATAGCACACCTAGAAAACCAGTCTAACAAAATCCCAGCATAAGGAAGCACATGGAAGTACTCGACGACTGGTGTAACTGTCCAACTGCTGGAACTCTTTCCGACCAGAGGACCCTGCAGACTACTCGAAAAGCAAGGATATGATGTTAGCATAAAAATTAAAACAGTGGATTGCAGTAATATGATAAATAATTACTGTTCATCACTCAAAACACAAACCCTATTATTTTCAAACCCAACCAATTTCCTGACACTTTCGAATTTACATTAAGAAATATGTTTAAAACATGCAAAATAATATCCAATAGAGCACAACATTAAAACGATCTAACGACCAACACAAAGTATAACGCACCCTCAATCCGACCACACTTTCCACCTTAACCCCTCAAAGCACCCAAAAAAAAACAATAAATCATAATAAAACTCATCCAAACAAAGAAGTCTCTTTCTACAACCATACCTGTCAATAACATCTTGAATAGGAATTTGAATGATCTTCTCACTGACTGTTTTGGTGCATTGAATTATAAAGAAGCAGACAGCCGCCTTTTCTTTACTCACAGAAAATACAACATGGCTTTCCAAAACCAGAAGATCTGTTTGATTAATACCTATTCCGTTCACAAGAATCATATTTATGTGTCAGCTAGTCTGTTAGACAATTGGAAGCAGAAAAAGGTCCTAGAACACAAGGATTTGGATACTTAGACACAGCAAATTACAGTAATTAAATTTGTAATGCATGAACCTTGAAAAAGTTCCACCAAAAAAAAAAGGAACCTTGAAAAAGATTTTCAAGTTCAAGAATAATTTGCTTGATTCTCTGTGTCAGGATCAGCAAAACAAAAGGCAGAAGAGATCAGGAACTGTTGGACTCAATACATCTCGAAAAGTAGTATATAAGGAAATTTGCACACCTGCAGCTTCACTAACTGCTGAATATGCAAGTTTGCGGAAGCTAGCTCCATCAGTCCTTGATTCAACTCTTGAAGGTTTTCCAGTGACTCTTTTGTTTCTGTTTGCATGTTTTGCCTCCGTTTGATCTTCTGAACTGTGCACTGCGACATCTAAATCTTTTTCAATCACCGACCAAACCCCCTGGGTAATGAGACTGAATAGCAATAAGCAGTTCTCCTTCTTGGGGTCAACCAAAAAGACGGTAACTTTAGAAATTGGCCATCCCTCTGTATTTGGAACATCCTTTGATGCATCCAACCTTAAAGACATGTTGCATGCATCCATGATTGTTTTTTCTGTCACTGAGAGTTGTTTCTCCAGGTCATCCAACTCAGTATCACTGGGCTTTTGCATGAATTTCATATGAGGCAGCAGGGCTGGTTTCAGAACCAAAACCAACTTGCAAAACGAATCGAAGTTCAAAACTTCTAGATCCGGGCATTGCTTTCGGTGATAGTAGTTGTATAGTAACACAACAGCATGAACCTAAGGGTAAGGGAAACCAATTTCACAAGCAAAGCAAATAGTTAAAAGAAATTTAGAGAAATGAAGACTTAATTAAGGAAAATTGAGTTTAAAAAAAAACACTAAAGGACAATGTTTTCCTCCTACCCAAGAAGACACTCATCCTTGCAAATCACTTGTTAACACATATGCAAAAATAATTCATTAAAAGAACACAAAGATGAAAACTTTTGCAAACATATCAAACTGTGGTTGGCAAGAAACTAGTCCTACTTCCAGTGGAAGGGAAGCAAAGTCCAAAACTAAATAAATATGAGAATTTTATACACCATGCAAATTTTAACACAAAGCACAGGTTAAAGTCTGATTTTTTAACACAAAATGCATCATGAAACGAAAAATGAACAACACCTGTTTGGCAACTGATTCTTGTTGAGATAGCGATGGGGTATCACGCAGAGAAGATCTAGGTGGAAGTATTGGGTCGACCAAGTATTCCAGAAAAGCCTTAATGGCCTCCTCAGTTGGACATACATCCGAAGCATCCATGGCCTCCACAAGTCTTTTGGAGCACCACCTACCCACACTTCGAGTTTTATATGAGTTTCAGTTTCACACAAATTGTATGAAACGTTGGGCGAATGAGAAGTCAATTCACAACTGGGCAGTTTCCTAAATGGAATATTAGGAGTAATTGTGCAGCCCTTGGAGAAAGTACTTAGGAATGGAAAGTTCCTCAGAGCAAGTTAGCTTTTCTTAGAGCACCCACAATGGAGGCTTTAAATTAGGGTTTTGTCTACCACCTTTCACGCATTTAAAGACAAAGAAGAATCTTGGGTTATTTACTCAAATGATCCTCAAATTTATACCTGATTTATATTTTGGTCCATTAATTAAATTATTCATTTAAATAGTCCATCAACTCTATATTATTTGATCCATTAGTCCTATCGTTACATTTTCTATTAAATTTAGTTATGTGAGCAGCACATGTTACATTTATAAGGGTAAATAAGACTTTCACCCTCGCCAGCTCAAATCCCTAGTCTCCAAGCTCACTCACACCTTGCTCAAGGTCGACATCAAGCAAAACGATGGCGTCCTCTTCTTCAGCCCCAATTCAATTCACTTCCCCGTCTCCTTCTTCTCAATCGTCACAACTAGCACCATTGCCAGAAGTAACGGTGGGATTGTGTCGATGAATTTGGAATTATTTTGGGATTAAACTTTTTGTTTTCTTTTGTTGTTTAGAGACGTGGAGGCTTACCCAGATGACAAGCTTAGTGGCCAAGTAGCATGCAAACCATCTCTCCTCCAAAAAGCAACCCACTCGTTTTGCATTCTCACAACCACAAAAACCCAAAGACCAAACCCAACAACAATTGAAGAACCAGAAGAAGAAGGAGAAGAAGAAGATGAATGATGGAGAAGGTGTCGCAGAAACTAATAGGAAGTGAGGTGTTGAGAACGACAAGCCGTACAAGGGGATAAGGATGAGAAAGTGGGGCAAGTGGGTGGCTGAGATTCGAGAACCTAACAAGAGCTCCAAAATTTGGCTCGGCTCCTACTCCACCCCCATCGCTGCTACTTGAGCCAACGTCATGGCCATTTTTTACATGTGGGGTCAGAAGGTCTGATTTCTTTTCAAACTTGAAACTATAACATAACCAAACCCTTGTTCTTGATCTGATTTGTCATGCTTCATCTTCCTCCCAACTAAATTTGGAAGATCGTAACTAACCCATTTTTATATTACTAATAATAATTACATAATCATCGCCAAATCTAGTTTATCTGATTTTGTTAGGGGGAAGAGAAGGACGGCGGTCGGGAGGGAATAGAGAGAAGGAGAGAGAGAGAGAGAGAGGCGGCTGGCTAGGGTTGGGTGGGAACTGTGTGTGGGGGTTGGGTTGGGTTGGGAAGAGAAGAGAAGAGAATGAGAGGTTTTATTTTTATTTTTAAATTTATATTTGGACTATTTTAACCTTATATTTGACAACAACATTGACATAATATAACGGTAAGACCAATGGACCAAATAATATAGAGTTGATGAATGAATAATTTAATTGAGGGATCAAAATGTAAATCGGGTATAAGTTTGAGTACCATTTGAGTAAATAACCCAAGAATCTTTCTTTTTTGTAGGACTAAGTTCTAAAAGTGTCTTTTTCTGGATTAAGTTCTAAAAATGTCTTTTTCTTCAATGGATCTACACTAGGGTATGTTAAATTTGGAATGCTATTTTTTAAAAAGGGTTTTAAGGTCTAATGGTCCTTGAATTTTGACTTTGATTTGCATTTTGGTCCCTCAATTTCCAAAATTGTTCTTATGGTACTTCAACTTTAGTTTTGTTATGATAAATGGTCATGTCGTCAGTTTTGTTAATTTTTTATGTTAAATTTGAGCATATGCGTGGTACATGGTGTATTGTTGAGGGTCAAAATCGGAAATATCTTTAAATTTTATTATGTATTGGGAAAATTCGGAAAATTTAGAAATAGTGTGGCTAAGAGAGATTGTGTTTGGGTTCCAGTTTTGTCGAGGAGTGTGGTTTGGGGGATAAAAATTCCCACGTCACTCTCTCCCCAAGATATGCGGAATCACTCTCCATATTGAGCCATTCCATTATCACTTTTTCATCTTCAATATAAATATATTAGGGAAAAAAAAAGGGTGATAATTGAATAGGTGATGAAGGAGTGGCTGAAGAGAGAGAGTAACATAGTTGCATAATTTTTATGAATTGAGGAAAGGTATGAATGCTAGAGAGAGAAGAGGAAGAAAATGGATGCATAAATAAAAAATTTATAAAAATACCATTTTGCCCCTGTATTTAACAGAAAAGATAATAAAATTGATGGCATGACCATTTGTCATAACGAAAGTGAAATAGAAAGACCATGAGAATGATTTTGGAAATTGAAGGACCAAAATGCGAATCGGGTCAAAGGTCAGGGATGATCCAAAACTTCTAGTCAATAAAACTATGAATTCTTAGTTTATAGGAATATGGGAATGAGAGAAATTTTAAGATAATTAGATAAACAAAAGGAACTGCTTTGAGTTCTACTTATCTATTACATTCAATAACTTACGTATTTATATAAGTTTTGGTTTCCAAAAATAACTAAAGTGAAAGAGTAAATAAAGTTAACCCATAAGGGGTCGTTTGGTACGGCGGACTGTTATGGACTGGACTAAATCCTGGGACTGTCTTGGATTAGTTTGGATTGGCCTAATCTGGATTAAGTATTGACCTACGTTTGGTGCTGCGTCAGACTAAAAAGCTAGATAGTAAAAATAATGAAGACCTATGTTTGGTGTTGTGTCGGACTAAAAAATAATTATTTAAATATTTAAATATAATAATTTTTAGATGATTAAATATAATTTAATAAGATCTTAAAACTATGAATATACTTTCTAGATACCAAATTTACATGTAGATGTCAAAGTCAGAATTTTTCCAAAAAGTCATAACAAATAAAAAAAGAAAGCATTCCAAAAATGCCATCAACCTCATTCATTGCAAGTTGGACCATGAAATTAAATTTGGCACCATGAGATACATGAAAAATTCAGAAATTTGGTCTTGCATCTATTTATTACAAAACAGGGGACAAGTTATCTAATAGATAAGCTAGACTACTCAACACAACCCCAAACAAGACTAAAATTTGGCATGTTTTGGTGCCAAACCAATGACTAAGCATGTCATTGGTCCTCCAATGAAGTAACTCTTGAGAAACTCATCACTACCTTTGTCTCGAATGCCCATGTGGTAACCTAAATCAAAATCAAGAATTGCATTACCACCCCATTGCATAACCCAACTGAGTGCCACATTTTAGCAAACAGTTGGAGTGCATGTTGTGCTATGGACTCTTGCACAACACCAAAAGCATTAAGCCCCCAAACCCAATTCTTCAAAGATTGAAACCAGTTAATCTTATGAACAAAACCAATGGACTCTGACCCAGCAATAATGGCAACAAAATAAGACAAAGAAACAAGCAAACCTTTTGTGCATTTGGGTTCAGGAATCTGTGATGTTGCTAATATCCACGATTGAAAAACCACAAAGCCCACTTCAAGTACAAACAAATTCATTCAATTGGTTGATGACCATGCTGTTCACAACATTCATAGGCTCTATAATTTCAGGTGGCCTGAAAGCATCATCAGAAACAAGACCCACATGGATGGCGCCCTCAGAATGGAGAAATATTTCAATTGCTTATCACTCTTGCAATCAAATCCGTCGTGAAGGTCAATGGCAGAATTGTGTGGTAGAGTCGATACACACTGCACCAAGATATCACGACACAGGTGAAGAAGAAGAAGAAATTGGTTTGCACTGTGTTGGACTCACTTGTTCTATTCAGCGAGAGAGCTATTTTGCCAACCAATTTTTCTACATCACTATATTAGAAGGGCAAGCGAGCCATTTTTTTTTCTTCCCATGGGACTATATAGTCTCATTTAAGTTAGTCCATTCTCAAACCAAACATGAGTTTTAAGTATTATTTTCTCCAGTCCAGTCTAGTGAGGCCTACCAAACATGCCCTCAAAGCTATGTGGTTTAAAAGCTCCTACATACTTAAGCCATACAATGGTGGTGGCTAGCTTAAGACCAATTCTCTTTTAAGCCACAACTTATTTGTGGATTAAATAATATAATTGATTTATATCAATTATATTATATTATATTTATTATAAGATCCTCCTAGATCATGGCTCCCCCATTTAAGAACATTGAGCTCCTACTCAAGTTAAATGGTGAGATGTGGAAATCCTTAGGTAGCCTTGTCTCGAATATAACACTTCAATTTGTTGGGAAGTTGCCCTTTACTGCCAATACGGAAATACTGATACTTTCCATGTCAGGTCTCACGAACCTTATGCTCCAAGATATAATCCTCTTGCAAAGGGTCTTCTCGTTCAATTTTTAAGTCATCAACTGATGGAAGGCGAGTGTCTTCGTCGAGATCATCATCAAGTAGAGATGGCTCAAAAAGCTTAAGATTCTCGCCATTGATGACTGAGTATATATGCATGTATGGTGGTAATTCAAGTTGAAAGGCATTATCACCCATTTGTTTGATGATCTTGAACGGTCCATAACGAATAACCAGGCCTTAAGCTATAAAAGCATATAAAGGGAGGGGAGGGGGAGGGGGGGGGGGGTGGAGTAGGCGAGAAGAAAAAGACTACCCTTTTTAAATTAAACTTCTTTAAAAGCACACAAGCACAAACACAAACAATTTCGTGATTAATAAATTAAAACTAGTAACATCGGAATGTAAATAACACACAAGAATTGTTGACCCAGAAAACCCAACAAGGGGAAAAACTGGGGGCACCAAGCCAGGGGAGATCCAATCTACTAAATTAAGAAATACAAGAAAAATGAAAGAAGACTTAGCTCATCTATCATCCATAGGCAAGTACAATCCAACCTTTCAGCAAACACCTTTTCTTTATCTCTTAGCAGCAAATTCTCTCAAGAACACCAAGCTCAAGTTGCATGTAGTTTGATGTATGAAGTGAGTTATGGTTGCACAGATTCATCTATCTCAATCACAAAGTATGATTGAGCTCGACAAATAAAACCTAAGTGTTGTGATGATTAACTTGACGAAGTGTTTATGTGTATGAATGCTCAGAGGCACATAAGAAATTTTTTCAAAAACCTTTGAAATGATTCTATTGGGCAAGTAGAAAGTGAGATGCAGAAAAGTTTTCTGAATGAAATGTGTTCCTTTGAAAAACGCTAGCCAAGGAAGAATATATAGATTCTTTGAAACATTTTGTTTTCAAGACAACAGCTCTACGTTTTGAAAGACCAACCATAGGAAACACAAAGGAAGAGAAATGAGTTTTTAATTTCTTTTAGGAACCAAATGCACTAACACAACACCAAGGCTTTTAGAAAGATGAAATAAAATTTAAATAAAATAAGCCAATATTGTTTTGATGGGTTGGAATAAAGAAGACCCGTGCTTTTGAAAAAAAGAAGTAGAGAATGTTTTCTTACATGCTTTTAATAAAGATGAAATAAAATAAGCCATATTGTTTTGATGGCTTGTGAAAATACCGATAGGATGGCTTAAAACACCAAAAGCATAAAGTCTGTGTTTTGAGTAGTTAAGAGTATCACAATAATACAAATAAAACACGCCAAGGGGATTGATACGATGTATCAATCATGTACAGTTCAAAACGTAAAAGCAGAGAAAAGCACAAAGTATTTTACGTGGTAAAACCCCATCGCTTGGGGAAAATCCACAGGACCTGATAGTCCAAGGCAAATCCACTATAGAACAATGATTACAAGAAGTATACAAACTTGTCCTAGACACTCTAGACAACGAACCAACTTCTTCGTAACTCAACTTCTCGCGAGATTTCTCATTCTCTCCTTATGTTGAATCCAATTCTTGACATGATCGATCCAAACTCACTGGAGGTATGAGAACCTTATAACTTATGCAAATGAATGCAAGGACAAATCACCAAGATAATCTACTCTTGATGATTTATCCTTATGAACAACAAAGCATTGCAACTTTCTTTTGTGTATATGAAAACTCAAGAAATACTTTGTTTGTTGAAAGTTGTAGTACAAATGAAACCAAGCATTGCTTTTTATAATGGTTTTCAAAGCTGGAAACAAGATCAATTAGTTCCTAATCAACAGATTAATTTTCCAAAATCATATTAATTGATTTCCAATCAAAGAAGACTTTTAATGTTTAAAACTAGAAAACAATTTATAAAATAAATTAATCTTTCTTAAAATAAAAAGTCTTCTTAATCATAATGTTAATCAGATTGTGAGTTTGAAATAATGCTTGAAATACCACTATCAGAATGCATGATTGAATGAAGAATTTACCTCAGTGATCGTCGGTTGACATATAAGTCTTCAGAGCATATCTTGGAATTTAGACAGCCACCATCTCAGCTAATTTACCATCTATACTTAGTCTATTTGGTCTTTAGGAAATGCCAATCACAGAAATAGTACTAACAATCTCCCTCTTTGGCATTTCTTAGATAAAACATCAAATCACAATGGAAATAAAATACAATTCAAAGTGGTTTACATCTTAGCACTAATTTCAGTAGTGAACCTTTAAATATGCACAACATCAACCAATTAAATTAGTGAAGAATAACAAAACCAAACGAGTAACAAAAAGTTTTGAAATTAGCATGGTGGCATCACAATAGTTCAAATGTAAACAGATCAGTACAACACATGTGATTTGCTCCCCCTAACTAATATAATGTTATACAGCTAAACAAAAACTCCCTCTTGCTAACAAATTCTAGCTACCATACCCATACCAAATGAACCAGAGGGCATGATCAAAGATAGAGGGAAAAAGTTGAAGGGAAACCTAACCAGAAGGAGGGGCCCAAAGATGAGCCTCATTGGAGCCAAGATGGGTTTCCATAACAGCAATCATATCACTTTGGTTGGCAAGAGTGTCTTGGAAAGTTCGCAGCAGAGTCATAGTCTCATGATGTTGAACATTGAGCTGAGTGAAAAGAGATTGTTGAGGAATGGTAAGTCCACCATATTGCTATTGTTGAGAGAGACTTGAGAGATAACCTTGATCATATTGGAACAACCAATATCATCAGTAGGTTGACTCGGAATGCCATGAAACTTAGCCAAAGAGGTAATGATACGAGGGAGAACTAGACTAGAAGATGGACATGAGGCATTTATAGAACCAGCAGCAATAAGGCTTTCATGGAGAAAGCGTTCAAACGGAATGAAGAACCCAAATTGAAGAGAGTAAAGAATCGTAGCTGCACGATAATTGACCTTGCAGTGCCGAGAGGTGGGATTGAGGAAGTTTCAAACAAACATGTAGAGAACTCTAGACCACTAGCTCATCTGACCGGAGTGAAGTTCAGAGGGAGGCTCAGGAGAAGGATCAATATATAAGAGATGCATTAGAGTGTGGCGTTCCACGTTGGCAAGAACAAAGGGATTTGATTCAGGGGAACAATGCGAAGTCAACCCAAAAGCAGCAACAATTGAGTCATCTATGAGGGGAATATCTACACCCCATACTTGAATCACCAAGGCAGGACCAGGAACAATAGCACTTCTGACAATCGAAAAATTCGCATGAAATTTACCCATAATAGAGAAATTAGGAAGCGGCAGACCTTGAACCAAGGGAGTCTAGCGACGTTTGTGATGAAGTGGTCGAAGGCAACCCCAAGGTTAGAAAGACTAAAGTCATCTTCAAGCAACAGGGGATGATGGACAACAATGTTATGGTAATGAGCCTTGTAGGAAGCGGATGAAAAATGTTCATTAGGCGGAATGAAGGAGGCAATAGCAGCATGGAGGTTCCGAGAGGGACGACGATGAGACTGGGTGGGCGGTGACGGTGGAGCACTTGTATCCGCAAAATTAGCATTTGAGGATGCACGACGACGGGGCACGCCGTCGACGAGAGGAAGACACAATGGGAGGAGAGGGTTTGAGGCTGGATTCCGTGTCGTCTGAGAAGGTGTTGGAAGTACAAGCGTTGGAACGAGCTGAACAGGTGGTCACCATGGCTGTAGAGGAAATGGAGTGGTATGTTGTGGTTTGAGCATAAAAAGGTGGAGGTGCGAGCGTCCTGTAGAGAAAGACCTAGCTTACAAACACTATAACAAACTACATTAAAAAAAAAAAAAAAATATATATATATATTTATATATAACTTAAAACCTGCACCATTTAGTCAAGTTGCATGGCAAAGCATCATGTCTAAGCACAATGATACACTATCTCCAAACTAGAAAACCAAAGGAACAGCAAGCACCACCACACAAGTAGTCATATGCATAAAAGCATTGTAGTGCAACATTAAAGCACTAAACTTTTTTCATCCAAAAAGTATCAGAGGAAGGAAAATTTAACACCAAAAGCATTACATCTCTGCATTATGATCAAAATCAGTCAATGCATTATCAATCTATAACTGAGAGAATTGATAAACTAAAACCCAAAAATATGATATCAAAATAAGCTGACTCAATATGTGAAGAAACCCAAAACAGAGAGAGCTCAGTCCAAAAACAAGAGACAAACCAAAAAACAAAAGGAACCAACGAAATAGAGATGCAAAACAACCATTCATGCTATAGAACTTTCACAACACTTATTCCAAAAGATTTGCAACCTGTGAAGGGAATAAACTGGAAGAACCAAAAACAAGTCCAAGTCTAAACATTCGAAGCGAAGCATTTTAGGGACAAAAGCATGAGATCACAAGAACGTACCACTCTTAGACATCATAAGGCAATATAGTGACATTGAACACGATAAAACTTACAGACTAAATCCAATGACAAATCTCAAACTCGTGAAATGTGACTAACTTTCAACAAAACATAAAGAACACCATCACCAATTATCAATCAAACTTATAAACCAACAGACACCATATTTGTTAGCATAATTACACTGATCCCCCTTTTTTTATTTTTTTTATTTATTATAATTTATTTATTTAAATTTGTGATGTCCTTCATTAAGCTTTTTCGACATGAATCAAGTAGCGGATGTTCAATCAATGATCCTAAGTTAGTTGCCTATAGGACACTAGGTGAGCAAGTACCCCACGGAAATATTTATCTAGATCATGAAGGCTTCAAGGAAATTAAGGAAGCAAATGATCAAGGCCTTTTTACGCGAGCCTCGACGTTGGTTAGGCAAGAAGCCCGATTACTCCGCATGGATCAAGCAACAACAATTTTAAGTATTTATTTTGGAACGATCAAGGAGCATGCTAGCAATAAGGTGAAAGTGATCACAAGTCAAATGGATATACAATGAGAGGATGTGTAGAATGCTTGGAGAAGAATTAGGGTGCAAGTGAGTAACCAAATGACACTACAAATATGTAATTCAAGGTGACACAGTACTAGAGCCCAATCTTAGTTCATCAAATGTGAGAAATTTAAACTTGATAGTGATACAATAGCAAAATCTCTACACATGCTAGCTAATCTCGTTGAACACAACCAATGAACAGACATAAAAAAAAATGAACAGCATGAACAAATTAATCAATAGAGCACACACCTAGAGACTTTCTAAGGGTTTCAAACCTAAGATTATCAAGAGGCTTAGTGAAAATATCAGCCAATTGTTTTTTAGTGGAGATGAATTCAAGAAAAAGAATATTATCCTCAACTAAATCACGAATGAAATGATGACGAATGTCAATGTGTTTTGTGTGAGAGTGCTGGACAAGATTCTTGGAAATATTAATAGCACTTAAGTTATCACAAAAAAAATCATCATTTTATCTTGTGGAAGACCATAATTAGTGAGAATTTGTTTCATCCACAGTAACTGAGTGCAGCCACTTCTAGTAGCAACATATTTAGCTTTGGCAGTTGAGAGGGAGACACAATTTTGCTTCTTGCTAAACTAGGATACAAGATTGTTGCCTACATAAAAGCAACCACCAGTGGTGCTTGTCCTATCATTAATGTTCCCTGCCCAATCTACATCCAAGTATCCTGCAAGGTCAACATTTGAGTTAAAGGAGTAGCAAACACCAAAATTTGTAGTACCACTTACATAGCGCAGACTTCGCTTGACAGTAGACAAATGTGATTCCTTGGGATCTAATTGGTAACAAGCACAAACACCAACACTATAGGAGAGATCAGGTTAGCTGGTCGTCAAGTATACCAGGCTACCAATCATGCTTCGATATAGTTTTTGATCCACACTTTTGCCCTTGGAATCTTTGCAAAGTTTATCACTGGTACTCATAGGATTTTGAATGGCCTTAGCAAACTCCATACCAAATTTAGAGACAAGGTTTTTTGCATATTTGGTTTGGGAGATAAATATCCCTTCATTGAATTGTTGTACCTGCAAACCAAGAAAGAAAGTTAGTTCACCACACTTACTTATCTCAAATTCTTTTCACATTACCTCATGAAATTCATGAATGAGTGAGCTAGATGTTGAGCCGAACACAATATCATCCACGTATACTTGTGCAATAATTAAATCCCACTTTGTTCTTTTAATGAAAAGAGTTTTGTCAATACCGCTACGAGTGTATCCTTTTTGAAGAAGATGAGCAGATTAGCGATCATACCAGGCTCTCAGAGCATGTTTGAGTCCATAAAGCACCTTTTTCAGACGATAAACGTGATAAGGATTGATAGGATCTATAAATCTTGCCGGCTGTTCAACATATACTTCCTCCTGTAGAACGCCATTTAAGAAGGCACTCTTGAGATCCATTTGATGTAGCTTGAACATGAGATGGCACACAATTGACAAAAGCAAACGAATAGCTTCTAACCGTGCAACGGGAGCAAAAGTCTTATCAAAGTCTAACCCTTCAATTTGCCTGTAACCTTGAGCATCAAGTCTAGCTTTGTTGCGCATAATCTGTCTAGTTCCGAAAGATCTGCTTGGTACCAATTACATTAGAGTTTTTGGGACGAAGGACAAGGTACCACACATAATTTCTTTTGAATTGATTAAGTTCTTCTTGCATAGCCAAAATCCACTCGTTGTCTGCAAGGGCATTCATCACATTTTTAGGTTCAAGCAATGACACATAACATAAATTACTTACCTCTTCAGACACTTGTTTCCGTGTCTTTAGTCTGTGATGAACATTTCCAATTACGTTACGGAGAGAATGGTCTTTTTGGACTTGTTTTGCTCCATGTCTATGTATTTGAGGAGTGGGAGAGGTAATTGAATCGTTAATGACATCATCGTCAACATTTGTGGCTTCAGGTGTCAGATTGTTTGGATTGTCAAGACTTGGAATCTGCAAAAGTGAAGTATCATTAACTACTATATTGGCAGATTCCATTATTGTGTGAGTACGCTTATTAAGCATTCTATATGCACGACTATTCAAAGAGTAACCAAGAAATATTCCAATATGACTTCTTGCATCAAATTTGCCAAGATACTCCCTATCTTTGTAGATGTAGCATTTGCTGCCAAATGTTATCAAATTCTTGACATTTGGTTTCTTGCCTTTCCATATTTCATGCGGAGTGTTTTTTGTGTGAGGCCTGAAAAATACAAGATAAGATGTATAGCATGAAGTACTAATAGCCTCCGCCCAAAAGTGATAAGACAGTTTAGCACTTTTAACAACACACGAGCCATGTCCAACAAAACTCTATTTTTTCTTTCCACTACCCCATTTTGTTGAGGTGTAATTGGAGCAGAAAATTCGTGTTTAATGTTTACTACAACAAACAGTGAAAGATTGATTCTCATATTAATTACCTATTTTTCATTCAAAATTCTTTTGTACAGTATGCAAAAAGATTTGAAAGCTTCAGACTTCTCATATAAAAAAGTTTACCCATGTAAAGCATGAGAAGTCATCCACCAACACAAGTATATATTTCTTTCCTCCTAAACTAGCCACTTGAATGGGACCAATAAGGTCCATGTGCAGTAGTTCCAAACATTTGGAAGTGGAAATCAAATTTGTAAGTTTATAAGAATTTTTGGTTTGCTTACCAAGTTGACATCCCTCACAAACTCCTTCATGTTTACTTGAAAGGTTAGGTAATCCTCTTACACATTCGTTTTTGGACAATTTGATCAAATCTTGATAGTTCATGTGGCCTAACTGACGATGCCAAAGATCCAGGTGTGATCTGTACTTGTCCAGAAACACACTTGGGAAGCTTCATTAGTAAAAAAAACAGTAACAATTATCATTGGACCTTTTTCCAACCATCCCACTCGCTCCTTCTTTATCATTGACAACACATTGAGTTTTAGTGAACCTTACGTCACCTACTTCATCACACAGTTAGCTTACACTGATTAGGTTGGCTTGTAGATTTTCAACAAGACATTTTCCAAGCTTGGGTTACCAATTGCCATAATCTTTCCTTTGCCCAAAATCTTGGATTTTCTTCCATCTCCAAAATTTACCATCCCTCTCACATTTTCTGTAGATATTGCAGAGAAACATGATCTTTCACTAGTCATGCGTCTTGAGCATCCACTGTAAAAATATAACGATTTAGGTTTATGATCAGAAAAGGCAGTGAAGGCAACAAAACATTTGACATCTGAACTTTTAGTAATTGAAGTTGATAGAAAGTAGTTTATATTTTCCTTCATTCTCCACACTAGCTTTGTTTTTGGTAAGGATAAGGAATGTGAAAGTTTAGACAACCTTTCTACCTCTCTTACAAGATGTGAAATCTTGTTTTGAATGCTTACCTGACCTCCCTTGATAGATTGTGGGCTTACTGAAACCAATTAAATTAGCATTTGGTAAGATGATGTACAAATAGAAATATATTGAGTATACAAATAGTCGATCATATCTTCAATACACACATTATAAGATAACATGTGAGGTACCTGGAATTCCCAAAACAATGAGTATACATAGCTAGTCACGATATCTGCTATAGTGAGCTTGACAGCTTTAGTGTAGATTCCATAGGAGAAACCGTCTTCATCAAAACAAGCATTAGCCTACACAGATACCTGAGCCATATGCCGAAATGATCACTGTAATTTAATCATAGGCTTCAAAACCAAAACAAAAAACCAAAGGTACATTCAACAAAATATATTCACCATGTCATTTTGTGCAAGTAGGTCCTCTAAGATGCTTGAAACTGCTTCCTTCTCATCTTCGGGTTTCTTGGAACTCTACATTCCAACGCTCCTGCAAAATTCAACCAAAGCATTAAAAAAAAACTTTTAGAACATCATCAAATAACTGTCAAACCATGAAAATTGACCATCAACAAGGAAAATAATTTCTTCCTTCGTTTTGAGGGCAGATGTGATGAAATGGAATTCAAACGAACAAATGTCCAAAGGACTTAAACTTGTTCATTAAAGCAATCATTGGTCTAGTTTAGCATGGCTAATCTAGTTAGGACAAGTTTAAGTGCTATATAGAAGCCAGTGGATTTGGCACTAAAACCATTTAGTCACGCATGTGTTAGGGAAGTAGAGTAGTCATGCTAGAGAGGCTGAAAAAAGAAGCAAGAATTGGTTAATTTCTTCAGATAACAGAAACAACTAAAAAGAAACTACTAACACCAAACAAATGAGAAAGAATATAAAGAAAACTTTAACAACTATATCATTATGACATCATAATAAATTCAAAATAACATAAACAAAAAGGATTTTCAATGGTTCAATGTAGGAAAAAAAATACAAACAAGAACAAGTTTTGACCTGCTAAATCCAAGGGAGAACAACCAAATGTACTTTTCAGAATCCAAGGGTTAATTAACTTAGTCCACTTGAATGTAGAGCATAACATGATAGACTAATTTAGAACTCATATGCTATTTGAGTTCCATAGAAACTTAAAGTTCAGTTTTCATTTGATATTTCAGCAGAATAATAGCAAGTAAACAAACAAGAACAATTAAAAAAAATACAAGAAAATGTTGAAATAAAATAATTTGAATAAAACACATTGACTCAATATCTTAATAGATATGTTATTCAAGAACACATTTTATTTGCTAAAATCCAAGGGACACAGCTAGTCATACTCATATTCCATTGGACCAGAGCCAACACAGCTAGTTATACTCATATTCCTCAGAAAACACAGATACCTTGTTGGATTCGTCACTTGCTACTCGTCAAATCTCTGTACGAAGTAGTCGCCAAATTTACCTCAGATCTGGATAATGGCGATGATGAAGCGTGAGAGGTTGAAATCGCCCATCGCGTCCTCAGATTTGGATTCGAATCAAATCAAATCGAAGATATCAAAAGAAGGCTTAGAAATTAGCTTTCGTTGGTTCTAATTTTTGGGGTTTAAAAGAAGATGGTGGTAGAGACGAAGGAGAAAGAAGATGGCGGCAGAGATGAATGGAGGACAGAGAGGATGGCGGCAGAGATTGAGGATGTAGAAGAAATCGATGGAGGAAAAGAAATTAGGAGAGTGAGTATCGTGAGAGGGAAGAGAGATGGATGCGAGGGAGAGTTAAAATGTTTTGTTAAAAAAATCATTGTAGCGGCGTTGACATGGTTTTGTCGTCGGTATAATTGTTCTGCTTTAAAAAAAATATTCAAAAACATTTTATGCATCAGTATATTATATCATTGATGCTAACTTTCTGTTGGATGGCGTCGATGTGTTGCATATAACACAACCTCGAATGTATTGTGAAGCATCGAGATGCATCTTGAGCCAATAAACATAAAGAAGAAGATTCAATAAAGTCTTCTCAACCCTAAAATATCCCGCTACATTGGAAGTATGAACCTGATGAATCTAATGCAATCTGTCACCATCTTTTGGAATGCACAATTGTGTTCCCTTGTACATTCGTTCATTATTTAACTAGAACTCACTAGTCTTTCCTTGTTGCAGCTTGGCATAGGCTGAGTTAAAATTAGCATATTTGTCGTACCCTTTGGCATATTCAAAAGGAATAATGGGTTGGGTTTGCATAGCCACCAGCAATACGGAACTAATTGGTGTAGGTGGTCTAGATAACATACATGCCAACTTATTAGTTGCTCCTTTTTTGTACTTTATCACAATATTGAATTGTTGTATGTAAAACATCCATTTCATATGACGAGCTTGCTATAACTTAGACTGTGTCCTTAAAAACTGAAGAGGTTTATAAGTGAACTACGACTTCTTTTCCCAACAAGTAAGCTCTCCATGCTTCACTGCTTGATGCATTGCATATAGCTCCTTGTCATAAGTTGGGTAGTTCAATACTGGTCCACTAAACATCTCATAATGGTATGCAGCTGGTTTCTCTTCTTGAAATAATACAACTCGCATGGTATAGTTCGATGCATGTGCTTCCACTTCAAATGGTTTCTGCATACTTGGTAATGCTAGTATTGGGGCCTCTGTAATCTTTCATTTCAACAACTGGAGATTCTTCTTGGTTTCCCTACTATTCAAACTTTTGATTAGCTTATGTGAAAAGTGCAAAATAAACTTTCACAAATATTGACATGCATCTATAAATAGTGTTGTTTGTGGTACGGTTACCACGTTTTTTTTTGCCAAACCACAAACCGACCGACTATTTGCGGTTTGGTATTTATTGAAGCCACAAACCAACCGCATTTTGCGGTAAACCGCATTGTGGTAAAACATCAATTTTTGTTGGTTACCATGAATTAATGGTTTAAACCGATTTGGATATTTTGGGCATAAATTAGACAATTTTAGGTCTTTTAAGTTGGGTCTTTTTGTGTCATAAAAATCCAATCTTCCATACTTTTAGGCCTAGTTTTGATGCTTCTTTTGAAATCTTTTGAGTTCAAGCATACTCCAATCCAAGAAAATAAATTCATAACCTAAACTTCTCAAGCATACTTTTGTAGGCCTAGTTCAATCATCATTTTGAAGCCTTTTGAGTTCAAGCATAGTTCAAGCTTAATAAACTCACAACCTTAATTAAAGTTACAACCTAAAAGAAAAATGTAATGCAAAATTAATTAAAGTTACAACCCGAAGGAAAACTCCAATTCAAAAAAGTTACAAACCAAAAGAAAAATGTAATTAAAATTTATGGGCACCAATACAAACCCAAAAGAGAACTCAAATGTTGGTGGTGGTGAGTGGATTTGAAGGACCTGGTTGCGATGTATGAGCATCAATGCTATCTACAAATAAAACAACATAAGTTTAGTGCATTTTATTATAAGAAGAACTATAAATAACATGAGCATAAATAAACTAATTACTTACAAGTTGTCATATGTTTAATTTCCTTATAGAATTCAACCTCATCATCCGTGGGTTCCTTGTAAAAGGAAAATTTGTGCGCCCTAAGCCAATCACAAGTACACACTAATGCCTCTACCATTTTAGGATGCAAGGAGCTTCTAAAAGGATCCACAATCCTCTTGCCCATGCTAAAAGCATTTTCACTAGCAACCGTAGAACTTGGAAGTGCAAAGATATCCTTGGCAACTTGTGAAAGAATCGGATATCTTGTTTGGTTTCCTTTCCACCAAGTACTTATCCATTTCATTGGATATCTCAATGGATTGCTCATCCTTCCTTTTTTACACAAGTTGTTGAATTAGTTGAAATGTGACATCAACATCGTCACCAATTTGCGCAACCTCATCCTCATCAATTTGGCTCACAACACTCTCAACCCTTTTATACTCATTATATAATTCATTCAAACACTTTACAACCCCCTTAACAATCTCATCTTGCTTTCTAGCATCCGCCCCAAGTTTTCCAAAGCTTATTTGGAGTATTTGAAGCATCATCTTTGGGTCTAGTACATTGCCCAATAACCTAGGTGCAGCCGCAAAATAAATTGTTTAAACTGTGCTTGTATTGTTCTATATGGGGAAATGAATTTTGGAAAAAGAAAAGTCTTCTTTGATTATTGTTTCGTTAAGTGTTATGAGTGTATGGACTTACAAATGATTTCTAAAGATGGAACGTTTTAGAAAATGTTTGATTATGAGGTCAGAGACCATTGATGTTAATTGCATATTATTATCTTGTGCATGCTGCCGGTTGAGATTTTATAAATGTTTTTTATAAGTTAAATTTTTTTGGGAATGTTCATTTTTCAAAGGAGACAGCCGAAATTTTGGCAGAAAGTCTCGTTTCTTTAGTAAGTGGGCCCGACATCAGTATGATGTCGGAAATACAACAGGATTCGTCTATGGTTTTGAGGAATTCGAGGCAAATCTTGTCAATTTAGGGTGGATCTCCCACTAACCTTATAGCCTCAACGAACCCTGCATATACATAAAATAATGATATTTTATAGGATGAATGTTCAATTATTGTACTATCATGCAATGTAAGCTAAAGCATTCTCCAACGAAAGAATATATATTACAACTAACATGGAATTCGCAATTTATGATAAGCAGTAGCTTGTATATGCACAAATAAAAAGGCTAGAGTAGAAATGTTCAATACCAAATTCAAAATTTGTTGCCATGAACTTTGTATAACCAATAGTACAACTATATATGTCATCCAAAAACCCTTGGGCCCAGTTGAACGAACGATAACCCATACATACAACATAATCAAATGTCACTTTTGGGATGTACAACCAATTGACATTTTTAATTGGGTAGCAATCTTCATGGGCCTTGAAAAGCATTTGTGATACTCATGTGGAAAATGCGTTTTCGTTGGCCATATTAATTTTAACACGAGACGAAATAGCATCAAATGAAGACAACATGAGATGAAAGCCAACTAGAGGAGGATGATCTGCTCGTACTACAACTTGAATACAAATCATATATTGCGATATTGCCACTATAAGTATTCTCATATAAATTTCATTCATAACTTATACCACCTCCTTTTTGACAGAAAATGGTATTTCATTCAACCCAAAGGAAACATTACATGGTAAAAACAAGCATGTTGACGGCCTCGTTAAAATCTTCCTGGATAAAATCCCGGGATAGGAAAGATTACCACCCATGCAATTGACTAAACAGAAGAGTCAAACACCCACTACATGTAAATCAAACAACTCGAGGCCAACCCTCCCTAACACCATCTAGAGGCTAGGGAGGACCATCTAGAGGCCAGGGAGGCCCATCACCCAACCAAAAACAAAGCTTCTCTGCACGAAAACTAAAACGTGCAATATTGTGTGCCACGACATTTGTAGTACGGGGAACAAAACAAACACAGGAAGACATTGCCTAAAGAAGACGCTGGTACTCTGTCATATGCACTCTCTTAAGAGCTAAACACTCTTCTTCCTTCGAAAGAAATTGCACTGCAACCAACAAGTTAGATTCAACTACCAAGGCCAAAAGCGATGCATCTAAGGCAAAAGAGAGACCAACTTTGAGGGCATACAACTTTGTTGCCAGCACAGAAAAGAGACTAGGTGCACACATAGCTATTACCATGTGAATCATGCCCAATCAAACCCACTCCCCGAATTCCATCCCCTAAGCCCAGTGCACCATATAGTTAAGCTTAAATAACCTTATCCTTGTTCTTGAAATTTTTTGTGGTTTTTAAAGTTGAATATGCATCTACTGGTTTGAAAACTTTTCAAAGTTCGTAATTTAACTGCTAAATAAATTGTTCGAAATATAGACTTTTAGATATTTGTGCAAGTTTGCTTTCAAATTATATTTTGATTAAATAGTATTGGTGTTTTTTTTTAATGACGTTAGATTTTGATTTAGGTAACTATATCAACTAAAATTATTTCTTTAATTTAATCTCACTAAGGTATGACTTTGAAATAAAAAATAATTTTGATTAACAAAATTTGGTCACTTCATGAGATTCATTTTTTTTTCACGATTTCTAGGATTAAAAAAGAGTTGTGTGTCTTCTTCATCAAAAGAGTTGGGGGTCTTCTAGCGAATGTCTTGGGCCACCAAAAATTCAAATAAAATTAAATATTAATTTAACTCATATAAGCTCAAAACAACATATTTTAATATCAATTTTTGGGCGTGCCCTAAAATCCAGCTAAAGTTGGGGTCGAGCAACTCCAAAATGGGCTTTTCCTCCAAGTTGCGTTTGAGCAACTCCAAGACCCGTTTTAACTCCAAGTCTATTAAGTCATATCTATGCTCCTCCAAAAAACTGGATCTTTGCTGATCTTCATGCTCCAACCTTCCTTAGAGCCAAGTCGTGGAATTCCTCCTGTTTGGGTTGAGTTCTTGCTTGTGGTTGGAAGTGAAAAAGTTTAAAAGATAGGTGATTAACCTCTTTGAAAGCTGAGTAGTTGTGGCCAATGTGGGCCCAAAAGCTATAAGACCTTGGCTCAAGCTTCTTCAAGATTGATTGTAGTTACGCTTGGAGATGGCGGCCCAAGTTTGAAGTTTTTGGCGAATGGGGCAACCAATGACAAATGAAAGTGCTACTGATATATATATATATATTATGTTAGATATGTATATATATTTTGATGGTCTTTGTGGTCTAATGGCCTCTGGCCAATAAATGATCTGATACATGGTGCCTCTCACCCGAAGGATCAGTAGAATGGTCTACCGAATGCTATATCCAAAGCATTTCATCCAAGAAGAGTTTCCATGCAAGCTCAAAGTTCAGGACTTCACTTTAATTTCAGGAAATGGGCTCTAGTCTACCGTAGAGCATATTGGCCGATATTGGATGGAGATTAGACATCGTGAAGCATTGAAGTTAAGGCTATTCCCGAGCATTCCTACTGTTTGAACTAAAATCAAAAACTTGCCTTTGAGTAGAATGAAGAAATTATAGTTCATCAACAGAGCCAAAACATGGCTAGTCAGAGGGACTGAGTCAAATAAACAACTTCCAAATTGGGAAGCATCTGGATATGCGTAGCCTTCTCAAATTTTCAAACATGGAAGCATATCAGGGGAAAATGTTTATGACTGTATCCATCCCAGTGAGCAACTTCCAATAGTCAAATGAAGTTGCTTTCTTCCTGAAATATGTTCATTTGGTTGTTTCCTACAACATATCCAAAATTGCCAGTATTTGGATATACATTGAATCTTCAGGGCATGAAATACTAAAACGTATTTCCCAACCCAATTGAAACATTCTAGCCCAATGTACCAAACTTTCAGTATGATAAGCAACTTACAATGCTCAAATGAATTCTCTTTCTTCATGAAAGTTGTTCATGTGGATGTTTCCAACACTATATTCAAATTGGGTAGCATTTGAATGAATTACGTCTGCTCAGGTCATCATACATCAAAGCAGGTTCGGAGAAGAAGCTAAATGGCCAGCTGACTAACTTTTGTTAAGTCAATGGAGGTGTATGAGCTAGCATGGAGATCTGAGCTTACTCAAAAAAATAAATATTAAAGTATGCTTGCTGAAGGAGTGAAACAATAGGTCGTTGTCGTGAAGAAATTTTGAATCACATGGAGTTTCACCTAGGGAACAACACTAAAGCAACTTTTTCAGTTTTGCTTATTTTTTAAGCAACCGACTCACCAAAGGCAATGACAAGTGGGTACTTCTTATTAGTTGTTGGTCCCAACACTCAACTAGCCTTATTTTCTCTATAAATAGAAGGAGAAGTCATCAGCTGAACACACACAACTCTCTTAAACAAACTCAACGTCTTCAATAACTTGAAAACCTCTAGCTTGAAACAAATTGCCCTTCCTTCAAGATAACTAGTTCACAACTCATGATTGTTATCTTTTTTATTTTTATGCTTTTAAAACATTTGGTTTGATACCTAGTTACCAGGCCAAATCCTTAACTTTTTCTGTACCAAGTATGAATAGAGAAATCTTTAGGCTATGTTGTTGACTTTTATTCTAATGTTTATATGAATAGAGAAATCTTCATATGAACATTCATCATTTTCATTACTGTCATTTACTTTTCAAATCTAAGCTACAATGAACTGAGTATAGAAATCTTAAGTTTAGGGTAGCTATCTGTCATTTATATTGAGTTTGCATTGATAATGAACTGAATCGAGAAATCTTCAGTTCCATATCATGTTTCTTATTTTTATTTTCTGCTTGTTCTTATTTTTGCACTAAAAAAATATTGAAGTCCTCTTCATTGAGGTATAAACAGATGTTAGAGAGTGGAACAAAGTGGTGGAGCAATTTAGGAAAAATTGACCCTCAATATTATAAGGTGAAGGTGATCTTCTCGCATCGGAAGAGTGGATTAGTAAGTTGGAGGACATCTTTGCCAACATTGACCACCTTGGTGAACATAAGGTAACTTGTGCAACCTATATGTTCAAGAAGGGAGCAAGACACTAGTGGGAATCTATTCGTGACATTGCCAACAACCCTATTGTGTGGGATATGTTCAAGGAGATATTAGGATTATGAGTTTGTCCAACTCACTAAGGGATTTGTATTTGTGATAAAGTATGAGCGGAAGTATAAAGAGTTGATGAGATTTGCATCATATTTGGTGGATATTGAAGAACATAAGGTGATGAGGTTTGAGAGAGGCTTGAGGGTTGATACAATAAGGGTTATCAAAATTTAAGACCTTCCAACTTATGGTGCCTTGCTAAAGAAGGCATAAATCTTAGATAATCGCGAGAAGTTGACT